CACACACACAACACCACACACACACACACACACACACACACACACACACACACACACACACACACACACACACACACACACACACACACACACACACACCAACACACAACACACACACACACACACATACCACACACACACACACACACGCACACACACACACACACACACACCACACACACACACACACACACACACACCCCACACACACTCAAGTAAACAAGTGAGGAAAGACAATGCAATCCTTCCTAGTGCCCCTCCACACACACGAGCGTGCCCTGTACCCACACTCAGTCAGAGTGACACTGATGGAGCTAATATGAGAGACGTCAGCGGCGTTGCCAGGGAGAGGTATTTATTGGCAAGGTGAAAGCCAAACGCAGTCAATTACACTGCCTGTCTGCCCAATCATTCCTCACCAAGAGAGATGGCCAGCCAAGATAAACTGGTTATTTCACAGAAACAATCCATCTGGAAAGATGATGTGCTGTCTGCCGTCAGAAAGCACCTTCCTGCTCTCTGCAATGGGATAATGGTAGGGAAGTAGAACGGCTCACAGAGGCTGAGAAGGGATGTGCTCCATGTATGTGGAGGGATATACAGTGTGTGTCATGGCGACAGCTGCTCCTACCTCAATTTTGTTTGTTTATTTATTTCACATGCTGCTTATCATGTCACTGCCATGCCTCTCTCCCTGTTGTTGTCTCCGTTATCGGCTTTAATTGATCACCTGATTTTACTAATCTGCCCACACATCTGCAGTAATTAGTTCTCCATAGTACAAACACACATTGTCTGTGATGTCTGCGTTATTTTTAAAGAAAGATAGAACTGACACATATTTTTTCTTAGACATTAAAGGTTAAAGTCATAGAAAATCAAATCTCTCTCACTGCAGTATATTCAGGGTTTTTTCCAACACAATCTTATGCTGCCTACACAAGGATTTTGCATTAAGTATTATGTTTTGATTGTGGCCACGGTGGCAGCTGTTACATCTTAGTTGTCTAAAGAGAGACTAAGTAAGTGAAATAAACGTAGTAATCTACTCTGGTCTCATATTATCTGAAAGTAATGATTTAAAAACATATTGGACTTGCCGCCCAACTTCTAAGGGTTGCTTATGAACCCATATGGAAATGAGTTTTATGAGGTCTTATCAGTGCAAGATATTCAAAAATACATGTTTTTATTCACTTCATTCTTCTTTCTATTCCCAGTACTGAGATCTCCATGTGAACTGCTAAACAAAGGTGGGCAGGGGATCAAAAACAAACAGAAATGTTCCTGAATAAAAAAATTACAGACTGAACATTTTCATATCGAAGCCTGTCTTTTTATTTTACCCTCCATGTACGCCTCTGTTTTTGTCTGAAAGAAGGGATGAGCGAGAAGGTGACTTAGGAGTGGACTGGACATTTGTATTCAGCTGCTGGATCAAAGTCATATTTCCCTCCAAACCAAATGACCTGCTTTTTTCTTTTTGTCGGAAGGCACATTCAATAAAGACTCATTTTATAGGCATTTCTATTTTTGCCTCATCCTTTTTTTTATTACAGAAATTCCTTCTCTAGCTTCATAAATCTTTTCTTCTTCACCCTTTTTGATATGCTACGGAATCAAGGCAACAGCAAGGAAAAGAGAAAACAAACAGAAATATCTATTTTCTCTTTCTCACCTGAGGGGATAGATGAATACATTTGAATAATCGTTCCCACTGAGATGACTCATCCAAAGTAAATATGAATATATAAATAAAGTGAGTCACGGTTTCAAAAGGTGAAGGTTATAGTGACCTTTTAGCCTTTCACCTGGTGAACTGATTAGAGAAAACATGCATTTAAATGACACTCCCTGCTGTATATAACAGATTCTTATAAATAGTGACTGTAGCATGTTCTGCACATCGATAGCTCACCTTAGTCGCCAGAAGTCGTGTCAGGTAGATTTCAGAAACCATCTTGCTGCCGCGGTCGCCCTCCTTCTGGTCTCCGTGCTCATGGTTCTTCACCAGGTGCCAAACTTTGACCCCGCTCTCCAGGTCAGGAGTGATCATAGGAGTACGGGAGCGCAGGCTGTCGGGGCTTCCAGTGTACTTGATCATGTTCTCTGTGGAGAAAAACATGATTAGTTCATGTGGAACTGTTTTAACAGAAAAGTAAACATTGTTTTCTTCAGGCACGCTTCCATTGGCATTTTATATACATCTATTGAGATATGTACGAAAAAAATGATTTTGCTGGGTTGTCCCTGCCTGTGTCAGAAAGTATAGAATAGTACGGGGTCAGTTCCATATCTAAGGTATACAAGAAGAGAAGAAAGCTGACGGAAATGTTGACTAAGGCACTACAAAACATAGAAACAAATACAAATGGAAAAGCTACTAAAAATACTAATCTGTCGCTTCACTAAAGAGGCAAGAAAAGCCTTGACCTGCCCGTCAGCAACCCTTTTTTGACTTGAGGCTTTCAGTTTACAGGTCGGGGAGATTGGATATGAAACTTTCAGAAAGTGTGCATGGTTAATTTTTCATTGCTTCTTCTGGCATCTGTGGCTGACACAAAATCGAACAGATGTCAGAAGAGCTGAAATATGTATGGCCCACCCAATGGCCGGAGTAGCGATGACATTTCCAAACACATGGCTCAATGAATGTTTACACAGTGTGAAAAAAATTGATCAGTGGGTGCGGTTCAGAGAGAAGAGTAAAACAAAATAAATAAATGTTTTTCACAGTGACAGAAATCAATCTGTCCAGAGAGAAGGCGGGAGGAGTGAACGGTGGAGAGTGTTCAGGGAAAAAGAGACAGCTGGAGACATCAGATACTGTGTGTGTGTTTGTGGGAGTGTGTGTCTACTGATCAAATGTAATTACATTACAATTAGTCTCTTCTAGGGGGCGTTTCAGGGAGCCATATTTAACTGTAGATGTGTTATAAGACCTGTGTCAAGTATTCTCTGCAATACTTAAATTGGGTGTAACAAGATGTGAGCGTGGTCTTTATAGAAAAGTGGAGTGGGTAGTACTTTCATTTTGTGTTAATGATTTATTCAAGAAGTTGGGAAGCTGAGGGTGAGGCAGAGTGAGGAGAAAGATTCTATTCTGATCCTCACAAAGGACGAGTTATTTTTCTCTGTGGTATTTCTAATGGAAACATGACGTCAAAGACACAAAAAGTGTCTCCTTTCACTCTCTGACTCAACATGTCACAATGTGTTTGTCTTAATCTCCACATATTTCTCTCCTGCTCCACTCTCCCTCCCCCCGTCTGTAGCTATATTAAATTATCTATCTCCACTATCTGGTCATTGTGCTCACGGAGAGTTCAAAGTCACTCTCAAGTGCGACACTAGTTGTAAAGTGGATCACACTTGCTTTTGAAGTCAATTCCTTAAAAAAGAGTATTGGATGGAGGTGTTTCTGGTCTCCTCCCTCCCTTTTCGTGTCTCCTCTCACCTTGTCCTATCTGCTCTAATTTGGATCCGGAGAGGCGAGGTGAGGCCGTATGGAGATGAGGCGATGCTAATAATGTGGCTCCACATTTGATGTGTCTGAAGTGTTTGTGGCCGGTGAGGCTGGCCCTTTGATCAGAAACTAACTTGATGGTTTCTCAGGTTCAAGGAGATGCTGAGCAGACGGACACACTGGCACACAGAGTGATGAGAGGACACACTTTAGAGTCTCAAGAGGCCGGGACAATAGATGAGAAGTCTGTTTGGTCTCTTGTTATGTTTTATAATTCCTTTCAACTACTCGAAAATGGTGTCTTATCTTTTTAGGTCTGTCATTGATGTCATGCAGGGTGCCGTGGATGTGGACCTCTCTGATTTATTTGACCTAAAGTATTCCTCTGATTTTATTGAGTGTGTTTTTTAAATGATCCTACATGTAGTGTGTACCATGGTGCCTGAAGCAGCTCTCTGACTACACAAACTTGAAGGTGTACTGAAGCAGGTCGACTTACCATATTTACTTGCAGAAGTTCGAGACACAGTGGAGTTGTTGACTGAATTGTAAGCTGTAACTTGCTTTGGAACCAAGGCCATCACTGCATTATCAGGTACCTGGAAAACAGACACACGTATTATGCAAATGACTGTTCAAAACAAAAGCCATTTTCAGAGTGTTTTCTCATTTGTGAAGATTTCTAACATAACCAATCAGAAAACCCATAGATCACTGTGTTGGTGTCATTTTCTATATTTCCCTCCATCTATTCTGGTTTCATGTGGATACACAGAGAATATCTGATTACCCTTATGTGCTCTGTTCAGCCCACACATGCATATAATAATAATAAAATATATTTATTTATATAGCGCTTTTCTGTAATTCAAAGACGCTTTCATATGATGAGTGACGGGGAGGGAGGGTTTAGCAGAGCCTGTGTGAGAGGGGATATCCCACAGTCTCTTTTCAATAATGCTGTTCCTCTAGGGGTAGGTAGTGTGTGTGTGTGTGTGTGTGTGTGTGTGTGTGTGTGTGTGTGTGTGTGTGTGTGTGTGTGTGTGTGTGTGTGTGTTTGTATGAAGGTATGAAGAATCAATTAGTGTGTGTGTGTGTCAGTGCTGGTCCATGTGTGTAAATGAATGAATGAGTCAATCGTGCGCTCCTCCTTCCCGAGTCAGCCAAATTGGTTTCAATTAACACAACTGGGTATACTCTGTCCCAGCTGTGCCAAAACACACACATGAACACATGTACACACACTGAAACACACACTAACCCCCATTCTGCATAATCTGGCTACCCGTGCTGCAGGGAAAGACAGGGTTAATTGAAGTGATCTCTATCCTAGAGTAGGAGGATGGGACAAGATATGAGGGCCAGGGGCCTTGGTGCTTATAGGTGTGTGTGTGTGTGTGTGTGTGTGTGTGTGTGTGTGTGTGTGTGTGTGTGTGTGTGTGTGTGTGTGTGTGTCTGAGCCTTTTGAAGATTATATCATTATGTCACCCAGTCACTCAATCTGCTCCTTATGCATATTATGTCTATATTATTGTAAGCAGGGGGCCCACAGGGCTGATCTTGTTATTCCTTTATGGGCCCCCCAACTCTCCAACCCCCTTAAGCACGCTCCCTGATCACTGCCTTTATATGCTGAATGGATAAAAAGACGAGTAAATCACAATGGAACAGAATGAAAACAGGAGGAGTGGTTTTGGAGGAGAGGATAAAGACAGAAAGAGGAGCGCGGTTTCCTGAAAGAGAAATGTATGTCATTATGGGATGGAAAGATCTGATATGACAAATGTCAAATGTTTGCTTTTAGGCTACTCTGTGCCGTTTTTCTGAACAAAAACAACGTTTGTGATGCAAACTGTCACATTGTAACTGAAGGCAGGGTGAATTAGGATAGGCTAGTGGCAGATCAAACCAGATTAATGTGATAAAGGAAAGCGCATGATTCTATTGAGTGTGTCTGGTTGGTTGTATTAGCTTCTAATAAGAAAAACAATATGTAGAAAAGGCACACCCGGATTGGCAGAGGCAGCATCTATCAATAGAGTGCATCAATTTATTTAGATGAAAAGAGAGTCAAGACCTTCAAATACAATGGTTCATAAAGGAAATACAGCTATAATAACAAGAGTGGAAATGCTATATATTAAATCCGAGCTGCCCTTTACCAAAGTTAGAGTGTGTTTGTGTTGTCCTCTGCCTTCGATGCTCTTTGCGTAGCCTCGTAGACAATATTTGAATGGATCATTTTGCTGTGTCAAGGATAAGGAGCCCTCATTCCCTGGCCTGAAAAAATGAATTAACTTCTGCCTTCATTATCTTATCTCAGATTGGAATCAGCTCCCTAATCCATTCCACCCGCGCCTCGTACTCCAAGCCTGTTGACACTTGCTGATGCTGACATTTAATTTAGGCACCACGCAAACTGCTCTTGTAGGGGACAGTGGCTGCTCGCATAGCTGCTCGGAATATTAACACTATGGTGAAAAAGACGGCCTGTTTTACCATCCAGTCTTATCCTGGCTGCCCGGAGAGACAGTGGCTGCTCATACGGGACAAAACACCTTCAGATATACGTTTATCACCGTCTGCATTAAAGCCTTTGAGTATTTAATGAGTGAAATCCTTTGTATTTTGTGCACAATGTCTTTATATCAATCCCTGACAATACATGTGTAAACCTTGTGTCTGTGACCACTGATGAGTCTATTCTGTACATGACATTTTTTGCCGACACTTATCCATTTCAGAAATAAGACACCACTTGGCCGGCACATCAGATGTTATCTGGAGCCCTCTCCACACATAAGGGATTACTTCCAGGTGTCACTGTTGTTGGTCACTTTCGGCGTGTGTGTGTGTGTCACTGTCAACTGAGGACTTGCACAACTAAATGGCTGGAAAAGTACTTAGATGGTGTTGGAGCTTAGTGCAGATGGAGTTCACACAGCTTTAGAGGGAGAGGTGGAGTGGAGAGGACATCAGAGCGAGCTTAATGTACTATTGATAAAAGGATGACTGGTGGTAGGAAAGAAATGTACAACTTAAAAATGTAAATCATTCCTTTGCTTTCCATTATAAAAGCAAAGTATATAAACCAGCCAGGCTTTGGCAGATAGCAACCAGCTTTTTATTTAACAATCTCTTATTTCTCTGTGAACTCTAAAACTTTACAAACACTTTGTATTATAACACTTTTAAAGACCATTTGCTATGGTAATGATCGTGTAACAAGCAATGGTTCCAACCCCATGGACCCAAAGTAAACATACTTTGACTCAAGTTCTTAAACAGTTCAAATATTGAGGCGTTATTAGGGGGTAATATGAAGAGTTTAAAGCAGGTTGCAGTCGTCAGTATTTTAGAATCTCTAGTCAAAGCGTACCTGGTAATGGAACAGCATGTTCAGCCTCTTCCAGTCACCTTCGATCTTAGTGGTGACGTCTTCATCCTGCAGGATCACACGCTGTCCACGACCCTGACGCCATTCTGCAATTGCAAAGGGGGAAAGAAAAACATATTAACAACTATATTCACATAATGCTACTCCTTTAAAAACTATTTACTTTAAAATCTGTCTTGTACAGTACATGTATGATGCCCTCAAATCTAGCTGATATGGCTTTGGCACAAGTAGCAATTCACCCATCAGTCTTTCTTAAACAGTCTGCCAGTTACCATTTCCTTTATCTACATGTTCCGAAGTTTTTAGTTAATATCTTTCATTGTCATGCAAAGCATGAATAGGATCAAAAAAGGTTACAAACAAGAAACCTTAAGAGTAGAAATAGAAGAAAAAAAGGCAAAGAGAACCCAAACAGATATGCCACATGTTAGAGACGGTAACAAGAGGCTAGTTAAATGTATCACCCTTTCCATCTCTTTTCTGCTGCGATCGATGGCTCTGATTACAGCTGCATGCCCCTGGCTTGTTCAAATCTTTTTCCATCTTCGACACCAGCCCTTATGCTCAGCTCTCTAAAGGTGCTATTTGTCCCTGCTCTCCCCTTTTCAAACCAACATCCACTGCTCTAAGCCCCCTGCCATGCTGCTCTTATTGTCAGGGTCTTTGTTAAAAGCACACCAAGCTGATATCCACGACAACGGTCCATGGAGAAACGACAAAGATGCCAGCATAAAGCTACTGCAGATCATTTCCATGGTTTCCAGCTTCCACAGCACATAACAGTATCTTTGATATAAACAACAGGCTGGCATTTAAATGACCTTACAACACAATTACAATTACATCTACATGACATTCACACCGGGCTTCCCCCACATCTTTGCAACTTTCGTACAAAACAAAAGCTTTAGTAGAAACAGCTCGCGACATTATCATACGTAAAAAGGGGAAGTCATATCAAAAACAAACAAGCAGATGATTCCTCTATTGTTTTCACAGACATTCTGGGCTGTGTGAATACATTTCCATGTGTGTGTTCCTGCTGTGTTTCCCTCTTGCGTCGGCCACTGTCATCTCCTATTCTGTTCACAAACAGAAAAACAAAGCGGCAATCACTGTGGCGCATGATGAGGCCTGTCTTTGGAGGATCGACATGAATTGTGTGAGCTTCTGAAAGAATCGGCAGGAAATAAAGATTCTCCTGGTGTTTTTGTCTATACAGTAGATCTTCCCATACAGATGCAAATGAGCGCCTGTCTCCAGTCGAGCTTCAGCAAACACATGAAAATGAGAACAAATAAATAAATATCCTTGGTGTGAAACCAGAGCAAACTGAATTTACTTGGAATCCCAAATCCGGTGGTTGCTCAGTAGAAAGATTGTGTGTGTGTGTGTGTGTGTGTGTGTGCGCGTGTATGGACTTGCATTTTGACTCACACTCAGAGAGATAAGGACTTTGGGGAGTGGATGGAAGCTTATGAAGAGAAAGGCTGAAGGTGACTGTTGTACTCCATGGAGATGTGATACACACTTTTGCTCCGGGTAACACTCACACAATGACACAAAGACACACACTCACACACACAGGACCTAGCCTCTTTGTCCTCTCCTCTGAAGGATTGCAGCAGATGGGAATCAGAAACAATATCTGGGATAACAACACTGCTCGCCGATCCGTCTAGGGACAGGCCTGCCACAGTCTCGTTATTCTTATCATTCATTGCAATCAGAGAGTGTGTGTTTGTTTAAGAGTGTGTCAGAGATCATGACAGCCACTGATGTTACCTGTAGAATGTGCGTAGAGCAACTTCAAGGTTAAAAAGTGTGTCAAAAATAAAAGATCAATCAAATGGAAGACCATTTGATTAATCTTGTTGCAATAATCACAACGCATGACACACAAATTAAAATAAACCCTACATGCGTGAAAAGATATGTCACGTGTATTCTCGTTGACTAATGTTTAGCAGAGAACTTTTGGAGACAAAGGATATAGACCAGGGAGCTGCATTTACTCAGTCTCTCCCTCCGTTTCTTACATACAAAGTAACTGGCCAGCTATCTGTGACAATTTCCAATTCCCTCTCGTAATCAACATAATAGAACAACACATCGAGCCCAAAGGGGGCCATAAAACAATTTTATCCAGGAGTGTCGTCAAAAGGCTAAACCAATCTCTTCACTTAGCTATCACCCAGACAGATTCCCCAAGGTAAGCAGAGCCCATCTTGGATTTAGGGTTGGTTATAAATATGCTATTACCTACACACAACAGGGGCCTGGAAAATCCTTCCGGCAATATTAAACCATAAAAAAGCACAGTGTGTGGTACAGAGAGAGAGACTGTAGATATTGGAAGACAAACAAGCATGGTTAACGTTGTAATGCTCCAAAGGTGTACCAAACCCCCTGATCATGAGTTTTGCAGAGAAGGTATATTGCCCCCTTTCATTAGATAGACCCCTAAAGTAAATTGCAAATATATACGACCGGAGTTAGATCACATTCTGACCTTGTGGAAATAAGTGCATACTGTAGCTGCCAAAAGGGATCATAAAAGGCACCAAAAGCCTGCATTTGAACAATCAAGCCCTGCTTACTATCTTACTCAGAAAGAAAGAGAAAAAGAAAGAAAGGACGCTAGGAAATGATTTTGTAGAAAAGAGATCACAGAGCGTCTCGATTGATTAGCTGATCAATCATCTGACTCAGACTCTAGTCGACAAGAGAGTGGATCGATGGGAAGTTTGGGGAGGGGAGAGACCACTCTCAGACATCTGAGCCAACCAAGCCAGGATGTCAAGTCTCCAAGGGTCTTAAAGAAATCTACTTCTCTAAATCTAAGAAGACTTGTACATTTAAAGAGGAGTGGGGAATCCTTTGTAAAAAATCTATGTGTGTCTAAGTTCAGCCTGCTATTCTCCAGACACATAAATAGGAAGCGCTGCATGGTTCGAAATGTTTTGACGAGCTGAACAGTAACTGAAAGCTTCAGCGAGACTACAATGGTGAACAGAAGAATAAAAAAGATCCCATTATACACATAAATACATAAAGGAATGCAAAACTCTCCAATGGGACATGTTTTGATTGCATTCGTAGCACTTTATCTTTCCACTCGTTTGATGTTGCTGTTAATTTCCCTACAGGTGCTAGTATTATCTATGGTGTTCTTATGTGTCGAGTTTTATTTTATCCATTTGTTTTTAGGATTTTATGATTATTTTATGGATGTGGATATTACCTATTACCTCTCGTTTTTATACTTTTGTTTAATATATGATGTGCTTTATGAGTGAGCGGTGTTAGGATTATTGTCTTTCTCGATCTTTAAGTGACTTAATTAAACAAATTCCAATCCAACATGTCATGGCAAAGTTTTGAGTCTGAGGCTGCAATCAGAAAATGATGGAAGGACTGCCATGGTAATTGTCATTATCCTTATTCAGCACTGTAAATAAACAGTTGCACTAATAAATACATCAGACTATTTGCCTGCTTTTTTCGCATTATTTATATATACAGTATCAAGACAAGGATTAGTACCCAGGTCCATGTCGGAGGCTTTCAGGCGGTGGGAGTGTGGGACGTTCTTGTAGATGGCGTCCAGGATCTTCTCCTTCACCTGGCTGATGGTGTCACAGTTCAGAGCCTTCACCTGGATCTCTGGGCTTTTCTCATTCTCTGGATGGATGCAGTTCAACACCTGTAGCACAAATACACATTATTATTCCCAGGTCTCTAAAGGTAGGAATTCTGGCAATATTGGTAACTGCAGCAGTCCATGATTCTGAGATGATTCAGTACAAAGGATATCTTGTGCTTTATATAATGTATTTGTAATCTTCGTAGAGAAAATGTGTGTGTGTATGTGTTAACCTTGTTGATTGCATTGGATTTGTACTCAATGGAAATGAAATCATTCTGTGCTCGCCAAAGGGTCTTTGAGATAATTGCAGGGAAGAAAAAGATCATTCACCAGGGAAGCTGCTTTTTCATCTGAGCTTGAAGAGAGACAGCAAAGCGCTTCCTCAATTGATGAGCAGCAGTAAACCAGCTAATTATAATATTATTAGCATATTTATCAGTTCTGTCTCCAGGTGTGTGGAAAATTACCCAAACTACAAGAGGAGCACAAACACACGTCATAAAAGAGAGGGTCAACGTGTAATCAAGGTTTTTTTCTATCACAGTTCTTGAAAGCTGTCAGGACTTAACAGTGCTAAGTTTTTCCCATTCAAACAAACACATCAGATGACTGGAGAACAGAGAGGTTCCAGAAGGAGGATGCTTCATCATCTCTCTCCATATGTAGCCATTCAAACATGCATATTCTGAAATGGTCTATTTCTCTTTGTCATTTCCAAGCCTTTCTCTTTTTCTTGACAGCTCTTGTACAGGAAGTGAGGTCGACGCTCCTGTGCCCTCTGCATGTCGAGCGTGACAACGACAACTTTATGCTGCGTTGCTCATCTCATGACCGACAACCCATAACCACCCTGTTCCTCCCCTCTTCTCCCTGGAAGCATATTAAGTGTCCCCTTTCAGCCCCTGCACCCCGGGCCTGGTGAACCCCTTACCAGCGTCTTGTAGTCAATCTGTTGTCTGATGAGCTTGTCTTCGCTGAGCGAGTAGCGGGCTTCTCCTGTGATGGAGTCAATGGGGCCTTTCTCCATCTGCTGCTTGATGGCACAGAAGAGGGAGAAGAGAGGTTCGCCTGCACACTCCTGTGAAGACATCCGGAGAGAGAGGAAGACAAAGTTAACAGGGAGGAAGAAAACTTTGAAGCCATTCTACACTTGGATGACAGCAAAGTTTAGTAATGAACAAATGTTGTATTTGTTTTGTTATGTTTTCCGGGCTGACCAACCAACATCATAACACCCCTACATTAGAATCATATTTCACTCAAATGTGCCAACATTTTTGGATGATTTAATGGGTAGCATAGAGTAAACATTGTTATAAAACATAGACTCTTGAAGCTTAAAAACAGTGTTGTGAATCAACCAGAAGAGACTGGCCATTTATCATTGTTTTTATTCTCCTCCCAGATGCAGTAAAGCAACGAATAGAGAGAGGAAGGTTGAAGAGAAATGGTCAATTGAGTTTTTAGTGAATACTGTTGCTGTAGGGTATTACTTCTTAACGCCACATCCATATCATCATACAGTATATTCTAGCTGAAATGAACAGAATCGATATATTCATGTACCTAATTATACCTAAAATACAAGTCTGATCGAAGTCATGAGAAGTACAATTTTCTTACGATGAATTGCTATTGTATCCACAATCTGCAAATTTGGGAGTAAATAAAACCCTTGGCTCAATAGTGAAGCAAACATTGAAGATGTACCTTGAGAAACTTGTAGAGGAGGAACGTGAACCAGTTGGTCAGCATTTTCTCTGCAACAGACTCAGTCCTGCAAACAGAAATACACAAAGCACATCATGAACTTATGACCCGCAACGCTGTTATTACCACCATAAATATTCAACAAAGTCATCAAATATTCTTCTAAAAATGATGACCGCTGCTAATGAATAGGCTTTCGTTACACAAATATAATTGCAAAGACATGGATTGAGTGAGCCTTTGTACATATGACGGCCTTTCAGCCAATCTCTCGGCTGGCTTTTATGTTCAGGCACGCCAAGGGCAGCTTGTCTATGGCGGCGGGGATTTTAATATGAGGCAAAGCAATTAAAAGCCTTTATTTGATCCCGGTGGATTGATGTCGTTAGGGGCTGGATGGGCTCTGTAATAACACTGGCCTCATTACCAAGTGCTCCCTTGCCTATTCACTGGACCAACACTCGATCCGTGCACAATAGAAAGTGAATGAATACATCTCCCTTTCTTTCTCTGCCTGGCATCCATGCTCTACTAGTGTGGCAAAATGGTGTGTGTCTGCATTTGTGTGTATGTGTTGACCTGGGCCAACAGTGTGATTGATCCCGTGTGAATGACTAATCTGCATACATATTAACAACAGCGGTGGTTGCGAGGGGAGAAAGAGGAGAGGCAGGATCGGATATCCTTTGACAGCAACCTTCTTGACCAGCAGCAGGGGTGTGTGGGTAATCTGTCAGAACACCTCAGACACACACACACACACACACATCCCTCCCTCGGCTTTCAATGAGCAACAACCATAGGCATCAATATTTTAGGATTAGGATCCATTGTGTCCGTGTGTATGTGTGTGTGTTTTGGTTTTGTCCCGTATTTCAGCTGCCACCTGCAGCCCTCCCGCCTTCCTCCATTCAGACAGCCTCTTTAAGGGGCTCCACACACTGAGACATGAGCGGGGGGGATATCATGTCCGCTGTGCCAGTGGGTTGGCTTGGCACCCCCTGCCATCATTGGCACAACACCTGGGGGGGATTAACTTCCTGTCTCTAACTGTGCCCGCACTTTTATTTAGCTGCCCCCCCCCCCGCCCTTCCTCTGTCCGTAGATCCAAGGGTCAACAAGGTCACTTTTCATCTTTTCTTTCATGTGTCCTTGCTTTCTTCCGTGCTCCCTCTGGCTTCCTCCTGCAATCATACACACTTCCAAATTCTCTCCATTTCCACAAATGTAGCCCATCTATCAAAGGGATGAAAGGAGCATGGAGGAACGAGGAGGTGCACAGGAAAGGAGGGAGGGAGGGAGGGGGCAGTGGAACAGGAAAATTAGGAAACGAATGAGAAGAAATGGCTTGGTCGAGTCTGGCTTTTGCTTTTCTTCTTTTAAACTTGCCTTTCTCTATTCACTTCAAATAGACATTGTGTGCCTGTGTAAGTGGACAAGTGTGCCGCTGTTTTAAGACGAGCGTGCAAAAAGCACAAATTAATCCCACTGCGGATGTATTCAGAAATGACCATGTGTGTCTGTTGTGTGTGTGCATGCTTCTGGCAGTGGGTGCTGGCCCTGCTGTAGTGAGAAGTCTTGGCACGGCCCCAGCAGTTTGCTTATGCTCACTCTCCATCAGAGCGCAGTGGGAATGAGGATAGAAATGGCACTGTGACGGAGCTGCTTTGGGATCTAACGTTAGCATTTAGTATTACACGTTTCAAACATTCTTCTCCAAACCTTTGCTAAGCTGCTACTCAAAACACAGCACAACCTGCGTTGGGGTTAATGCAATGAAATGTGCCGTGGCGTGTTGGCATGGTCAGGTGGGCCGTGTTGGCAGCCGGTCGGAGGGGCAGTGGGCGTGGAGAAGGATGTAGAGCAGAGGGGACCTGGCAGAGTGGACTTCCTCCTGATCACTGATGAAGGGGTGTTGGGAATGTTTGCTCCATCACACATTGAACATTTGTGTTGGCCATAGCTCCAACCAGCATGTTTTTCTATGCAAATGGTACTTTCTGCAAACTGTCACTTCCTGGAGTGTAAATCTTTGAGGGTAGATGTAATCCTGCTCCTCTGCTCATTTAAGCGATTCAAACAGCCTCTCTTGTTTACTGATATTACTTTGGCTTAGCTAGGTTAACCGAACATGTAACTGCATCTGAGTCTCTCCTGGTTCAGTCACACGTGAAAACAGCGCAGTTTGAGATCAGAAATCATTTCCATGTTTCACTCTGCCTCCCTGTGAGGAAGATTGCTCATCCTGAGTGTCAAACAGTCTCACAGTGACGCCTAGCTGCGGACCTGTTTTCAACAAAGATATCTTTAAAGTTAACAAGGGGCTTTTAACCCTGTGCGGGGATTGTGTGTCCGCGTTTAAGCCGAAGCAAAGCGGTGATCAACACAAGAACATATTGGGCTTTCATCTTTTGACCAATATTAAAACTGGTATTCTGACACATTAACAGCAGCCAAAGTAAACTTAAGGCTTTGTAAAATGGTGTTTAACTCTGTATGACAGGAAGAAGGATGGTGTTGAGGGGAGGCGAGTGAGGGGGTGGAGGAATGGAGGGGAGACAGGCGTTTCAGGAGGAAAGGGCTGAGAGGAATGCGACAGATGGTTGTGGAAGGCTCTCGTTAGTTAGCTTGCCTGGTGGTAGTGCTTCAGCACAGGTTGAGATGGGACAGATGGAAGGATGTGTGTTTGTGTGTGGAGAGAGAGCAAAAAGACACACACATGCACACACGGAGATTTCTTGGAAGCGGAGGCAGTGGGTAGCCATGCTCAGATGCTGTGCCAGAGACACCCTGCTCACGCACTTTAAGCATTGATTTAGCAATCAAGAAAACAGGGGAGGGGAAAGAGGGGAGGGGGGATATAGATTGAGCGAGCGAGTATAAGGGAGGAAGAGAGAGATAAAGAAAGTGACGGTGGCAAGTGGCACAAGCATCAGAACAAATAGAGGAGGAAGCAGAGGCAGTGTGAGGGAGAATAACACTCAATGTGAGCAAACATGGTGAAAGAGAGAAAGAGTGAGAGGGAAGAGGAAGAACGTGGAAACTAACAAAACAAATGAAAGAGAGGAGAAGAGGGAATGGGTGCTATCTTTCCAGACAAGATTAAGCTCCATCTTCACAGCCTTATGCTTATGCTTATATCTGGGCTATTTTCAGCCGCTATCCAAGGACACGCCAGTCAACCCGCTCTATAGGGTGTCATAGCTTGATCACACTGCCTCATCACAACTGAAATGCATGCTGGGATGTCGAAGGACTAACAAGCGCTTCTAAAAAGAAAGGACCAGATGAAGACAGTGCCAATCACAATGGTGTGGATGACAAATGGGCTATCAAACCGCCCGAGCGTTTGTTGTAAACATGGCTCTCCCTCCAGTGCTGCACTGTGATTGGCTTTCTCCCAGGTTTACTTCTCCCTTCCTGACAAGGACTGAAAGTGTCATAGAAGACAGTTTGTTTGACTCTGGTTCAGATTTTAAGAACAACCATGCTAATATAGAAAGGTAAAGCGCACATTTTAACGAATGTGTGAATGTATCACAAGATGTATTGTCATCACAATATTGGAGAATGTTTTTGCACATGGCAGTTTCTCCTCACATGGTTCAGACCTTGCACATTCAAAGCAATAGTGACATGGTAACTAAGTGATCAAAGAGCTGCCTGCATGCCCCAGCAGTCAGCATGCCTTACTTGGTGACACAGCTTTAAGTGTCTCCATTGTCCTTGACTCCCTTTCCCTGGCTCTGCTGTGCCGCTGTCTCTCCTGCTGTATCTCCAGGATCAGCCGTTACTCCATTGTTTAGTGGCTGCACCAAGCTTGGTGAGCTCTTGCTGCAATTAATTCAACATTAATCTCCCTCTGCATCACCAAGCATCGTCTAAACGTGCTTTCATGAGATGAAAATGCCCATGGTACGAGGATCAATTTCAGTCCTCTTCCTATGATATATGCTTATCGCGTGTGTGTGTGTATTTATTGGCAGGGATGAGTTTTTAGCCTGAGGGAAAATCAGAATTGTAATTGAAAAGAGACTAATAAATTTGGAAGGTGCCTGGAAAATCATCTGGGGGTGTCAAGACTTGCCAGTTGACCCCCGAGCAAAACAACATACAAGTCCATATGTATGAATAGACATGCGTATTACACACATACACATCAGCTGAAAGGCAGACGGTTTACTCAAGTAACCATAATCATCACATTTACTACACACTGAGGGCAGGCAGTATAATCCCTTACAATTCTGTGTTCAAGTGCGTGCCATTAAAGCTCTGACTACAAATCCAAAGGAGGAACATGACTGTGTTGAAGTGCAAGCTTTCACTGTTTTCCTGCTTTTTTCAGAAGTGACTATTTCCCCCCCTCTTGAGCTATGTGAAACTCTATTCAGTGCTAATTAATCATAATTATTTTGCTAATGATGTGGCATAGCAACGCGCTCTGGTTTCTCTGAGACAGAGCAGGCAATTCAAGGTCACGGGAGTTAATCCAAACGTGGCAGTTAGGAACAGACGCAAAGAGAGTAGCACATCCAGTCCTTGATATTAAAGTGTTTACATTAACCAGTACAAACGTTTATCTCTATCCCCAACCAAGCACAAACCCTATGTTTACAGAAGTGGAATCTGTGTGGCAGGTGTTCAGTGTGTAAATATAAATCATAGGGAGAGTTATTTGGTTGAACTGTTCTTTCTTAATGCATCATCTGCATCTTCAAAGGTCACTACCTGCTGTATAACTTTAGCCACCTGTTAGAAGGGTATAAGAGGTAAGTTAAACTCGGCACATCTTTTCCGGCCTGGTTCTCACCTTCGTAGCAGCAGCTTGGGGTGGTTCTTGCTCTCAAGGTTGCGGTCTATAAGGTCAGACAGCAGGTGTTTGAGGACATCAGTGGCGTACTCCAACTTGCTCTGCAACACTGTCATGATAAGTGAGGCCACGTTGCCACGGTCCCTCATGGAGAAACCACGCTGGGCCTCCAGAGTGCGAATAAAACACAGCAGGAAGACCTTGTTGTTAATGAGCTGGCCGAACAGCTTCAGCCCCTTCTCCACTTGCTCCTGCCGGTAGCCTGGCACCTGTGAACACATCAGAAATGTTCATTTGACAGGGACACATTAAAAATAACAAGGAGTGGAACAAGTACAGAATCCATGTAACACATTCAAAGCCATGTCATATACTGTAAACCCAATCAGTCATCAGTTCCTGTGAATGCTATATTAGCTTCCTGCATCCTTAGTCAAATACTTAAACATTGCTGAATAAACACAGTTTTATATAACATATAATCATAATAAATACATTTTGATCAGGTTCATATATGTGCTTTATTAACGCACATGAAAATGTATTAGAAGTAATAATTGAATTCAGGTCTGGTTTCTCTAATTGAAAGTGCAGGTATCAGTTAAATCTGTCCTCATAAATAAGGAGGAAGAAAGGAGAAACAGAATGAGAGAAAAAAAAAAAGCAACAAGGGAGATAAGGAGTTTAACATCTTGCAGCTTTTGTTGCATTTAGTGTGAAGGTTGACAATAAAGGCAGGAAAACAATAGGTCTCTTGCGGGAATGCTTATAATGTCGATGGTGCCGTGTTCCACACTAATGTACGTTGAAAGGAAGAGGCAGTGATGTGAATTTCCCTCGTCTGAGCCCACAATGTCCCTGCACCATTTATACTAGGCACTTCTTCTTTTCCCCGTAAACAGCACCCATTGAGATTAAGTTTTTTTGTATCTGTCAAGAGCACTTGTGGTAAGACGGCATGTCTTTGTACCCAATGCAGCTGCCAACCAGCATATGTTCTGTCTTTTACCTTTCCTGGAGGAAACTCTTGTAATCTGCTGGGAGCTATTGTTAAGTGGCAAGTCTAATTTAATACGCCTGACCAGATGCATTCAATGTCTGTGCTTCAAGTGTTGGCATTTTCCTTTTTTGCATTTATACACTATGAGCTTGTGAATGAAAGCACACAATAAGGAAGTCTTGAAAATGTTATTGTGAATGTTTTGTGCTTTTGTTCTACATAATAAAATGTAAGTGTTTGCAGGTTATAGACCAAACAAATGTATTATACTCTACCGTAGAACAAACATGTGTAACATTATGGATTATGGAGACGGTGCATGAAAGGAGCTACATGTCCTGACCTACACACAATCTTCACAGGGTCACTGGGATATTTGAGTTTGGCCGGCAGACAGAAGAAAAAAATATGGCAACCGCTGCTGAAATGGAATTTTTTCCGTAAAGATCAAGAGGGAAATGGGGAAACAATCATATGAAGCAGCAGGCAAAATGAGATTTAGAGGTATAGTCAAGTTGTTAGGAAAATAAATTGTAGAGGCAAGAAAGTCATTTTGACTCCTAAGAATCAACCTCAACAGTGACCAGGAATACATATAATGTGAAAGGGTAGGCTTTATAGAGCTCACACATACCAGACTATATTTGAATATTTTCCCTTATTTTAACTGACTGTGAAAAAACATTTTGATGTAAACCTTGAAAGAGTTTTATCACCTATACTCTTTCTTTCTGAAACCCACAGTCAAAAAACGTGACTTTAAATTATCTGACACATCAATAACAATTAGGCAGCCATAAACCGCCTAAGACAAGGCGTCTGCTTTTTTCATTAGGCTTTAATTCCATATTATACTCCTCATACAGTTCCACATTTACACCAATTAAAACATAATTAAATATTGCTTATTACTGGGAAATGATCATCAGAGATCGAGTGGCCAATCCTGAGGGCAGTGAAATGGGGGTCCATCATTCTCTTAATGGAAAAAGACGACCTGCTCAATTATGGCTGTCTATCAATGTCACTACCGACGATGAATCAACTAATTTTTTTTCTTTTGCTTTCTCCCACTAATTGACTTTTAATTTGTTTTTCAGGTGGAGAGAAAAAAAACGAGCAGCTTCTCATATTGTTTGAGTTATTAATGAGAGCGCGCTCCTGATTTTAGGTTGTCTTGTTTGTTTTTGATAAAGTGTTTTTGTCGGCTGTCAAAAGGCTTTTGTTTACCAGACAGCAACACAACAACCTCGGCTTCAATTTCACCTACTCTGACCCACCACATTGTTAATTTGCTTGTTCGTTTTGCTCTCTTTTCAAATAGGGCTAATTGCATTGGGATTGTTATTTGATAGAGACTGAAGAACAGGTACACACACTTGCAATTGTCTAAATGAATAGGAAATTGGTATCAACTTCTTACAAATAGCTGTCCTGTTTTTAGAAATTCTTTGAACGAAACACATCTAATGGAATATCTATTTAATGGAAATGCTATAGATAGCATGTTAATTGAGAACTTTATTCTGATGTCCAACATTATGTACAAGTTACTTGTCCTGTGACCCAAATAACAATCACAATCTGACACATGCAGAATTTGAATATGTCAGATTGAGGCAAATATAAAGTGAAAAAACAGACACAGACTAACGCAGGAACAATACATAATACAAGTTGAATAATCAGAAAACCATTCCACCATACCTCCAGATCTCTGAGTACAGGATGCTCCTCGATGCCCGGGAATAGGACCCTCATGGTGTAGGTCCTGTAGTCCAAGAAGGGGATTCCTGCTCCGTCCAGATCACTGGTCAGCTCATGGATGTCTGTCTGGAGCTCTGCGAAAGCTGATGGATAAAACCATACACAAACCAGTTATTTGTATATAAATGGTAATGTACGTTAATATAGCCCCTTTCTAGTCTTCTGTTCACTCAAAGTGCTTGTACACCACATGCCAACATGTACCCATTCACACATTCAGACACTGATGGCAGGGCAGCCATACAAGTTGCTTAACTGCTCATCATCTAATCCGGTGATCATTCACACACACCAGAGGCTCAGCCTTAGAGAGAAGTTGGGGGTTCAGTCTCTTGTACTGAAACAAGCCTTCTGATTGGTCTACTGGAAAGATTCAGTTGATTTATCCATAGAAACAAGCCCTCTGATTAGTCCATTGTAATGAGCCCTTTGATATCCCAATTTAAACCAGCCCTCTTATTGGTGCATTGAAACAAGCACTTTGATTGGCCCATTGAAACGAGCTCTCTGATTGGCCCATTGAAACAAGCCTTCTGATTTGCCCAACAAAAGAAGCCCTCTGATTTCTCCATTAAAACAAGCCTATTTATTGGACATATTAAAACAAGACTTCTGATTGGCCCAATAAAACAAGCCCTCTGATTGGCCCAAGGATGAGCAAATATAGTAACATCATTTTAGTCGATAGATTAGACATTTAGATTTATAAAAGCCATAGCAACACTGGATGCTTGCAATACTTAATACAATTTACGCTGTTGAGCACATACTCAATTGTTACTCATCAATTAATCAGTTCATTCTGTGAATGCTACTTGTGTCAACAGAACTAAATACATAATTCAAAACGTTTCCAAGGTAGAAAAGTTAGTTGGATCTATATAAGAATACATTCTATTCCATACAGTAAAACTGCATCAACCTCTTACCCTCTTTGCACTCCAGAGCCACGCGGGACTCCAGGTTGTCCATCTGCATCTGCAGCCTCTTCAGGGTCAGGTCACTCTCGCGAGACTTGCGCTTGTAGGCAATGAGCACCACCACGATGAAGAGGATGAGGAGGGCTCCGGCTGCAGCAATGCCAATGATAGCTGTGCTGCTGAGGGGGCTGTCGGACATGATGTGGACCACACCTGGGGAGAACTCGATTCCACCCACACGTGCCTTATGAAGGGGACAGATAAAAAGTCAGATCACAAATAATGCATGCATCTACTCTACATATGTTGTATACACAAATAGAGAAGTTAACTCAAATATAACAATTGGAAAAAGGTTCAATAATGTTACCTGCAGAGTTTTCTTCAAGGCTAAGGCATTTCACTTATTTGTGAATGCTAATAAAATATTGCGTCTATGAATCTCTTTCAAGGTCTTTAAAGCATTTCTGTTTTCAAAATGAAGATAAAATCCCAGACAGATATATTGACTTTCTATTTAGATGAGTACACACTTCTGTTCATTTGTGCATTTTCTGACTGATATGCGTAACAGTAATGTGTCCATCTTTTATGATGCAGGCTTTAGGTGCTAAGATCAGGAAGTGCTTTGTTCAAAGTGGTCCCTTTTAAAACCACAAATGGAAACACTATTGAGTTTTCCAGGGCCCTAATCCTTTTTATTGAAGGCTTATTTGTTTGTCTTCTGTCTGCTTGTGGGCAGGAACAGGAACCACACAGATAATTGGATCAGAGCTGTAGACTGTCTCAAAGTGGACAAGAAGATAGATAGAAAGCAACACGAGGAACGTTCGTCTGTCTGTCTGTCAAACTGCTGATCGATTTGTAGGACTGTCTGCCTTATATCTGTCATGTGTATCTTTGTATGTGTGTGTGTGTGTGTGTGTCTCTCCTGTCTTTGTGAGCGTGTTCTGTATCACTCACCAGGACCTTGTGTCGGCCCGTCAGGTTCGGTGACTCACAGAGCAGCTGGGTCTCTGACACTGTTAACATGCAGGGCTTCTCTCCAATGAAAACTGTGTAGTTCAGCTTTCCATTCCCAGTATTGGTTGGTGGAAGAAAGTTCCGCCCCTGCAGGAATGAATTTATGCATAAATAAAGACTTATTGTAGGAAGGCAAACACATTTCGTATTTATATCAATACTGGAATGATGCAAAATTACATTGCATAAAACACGTTAAGGGATTCTTATAGTCTATAACATGTAGTCAATACATACAGATGCATCTATCCTCATACCTTCAGTATAATGGGGGATCCAGGTTTGAGCTCCAGCACCCCCGACACACTCAGAGGTTCAAACTCAGGATTGGGGTAGTAGATAAAGTTGCTGTTGTTGAGTGCCATCAGAGCCATCACGTCGTCCAGTTTGAAGCCGAACTCATCAGGCCTCTCAGGCACTTCCTGCTGCCGGGCCAGGCTGATGGACAGCTCCGGGGCCTGGCACAGCATGGTGGTGGGGCCGAGGACCTGGCACAGCTAGAAGAACACAGACCAGAGGGGAGAAGTTATATTTATGAATTGATGAACGAATGTTTTAGCAAATAATAAATCAGAGCTTAGTGAAAGCAGAAAAATGCTGGAAATTGACACAAAAATAAAATGAACATGCTTCAGTTTGGTGCTTTCAATCTTAATGAAGATAATGTGAGTGACTTTGCATTAATCCACATTAGTAACTCTGCAAAGGAGGTTACATTTGTGTTAATGTTTGTTTGTCAGAAAGAACGCAAAGAAATAGGGAGCTTATTTGAAAAAAGATAAATACAATATTGTTTAATTTTGTAAACGGCCTTGGCGAGGTCTGTCCTCTCCAAGTGCCCTCCCATTCCATATCAGATTTTAGGCTGGATGTCAGTAAACCATATACTCAGCTCATAACAGAGTTTCCCTAATACCTCTCCATGCCTCCTTGCAACTAAATCTTTGGAGCACTGGCACTTGAGCATGCAATTTACTTTCTGCATCCAATCTGAAGTTGGTTTGCATTTTGATGTCACAGGTTCACATTTCACTAAGGCCACTGGATACCCCATTCCAAGGAGGAGTTCCTTCATTTCTAAAAGTGCAAAGGAGAACCTGCTGGAGTATTTTCCTCAAAGGAAGCCACCAAAGGAGGAGCAGTTAGGGAGTGTGTGCAGGCTCATCACAATCCGGCTTTGATGTGTGAAGATTCAGGAGTGATAACTAGGTCTTACCCTTCCTTCATTACCCTCCAGAAAGAGACCCCCACCCTCTCATCACTTCTTTATTCCCTGTCCTGTGATCTTTTCTCCTTTCTTTGACACATTGTTGTTCTGTCACTCTTCTTTCTCTATACCACTTTACTGCTCAATCAAGGTGTCTCTTTGATCTTTTCTCGGTGTCTCACTCTTGTTTTGTTGTTCTTTTTTGCCCTTGTCTCTCATTGGCCATGTGATGTGATTTACTCTTTTCATTTCCTTATGCACATCTCTGAGCCAGTAACAGATTGTCTGATCTGTCATTGGCATGCCCTTCAATATCCCTCATACATCTCCATTCCCCTCTGTCCGTCAGGGCATTGACAAATCAACCAGCAGCATTGGTCTCATTCACATACATTTCTGTCTCACTCAAAGACACTTTCAGTGTAACCTCTGCCATGCAGCCACTCAAACTGCTGCCTGTCACTCTAATTGGCTCCTTCAACATCAGACTGCACTAATCCTCAAAGGTCTCCAGGACGTCTCTGACATGTATCGTGCACTGCTGCAGGAAGGGAACTCAAAACAATACTTTTCTCTGTGCACAAATGTTGCTTCATCTCAGTGCAAAGTGAAATTGAGCAAATTATTTAATGGAATATTTAACTTATGTTGGGTCAAAGTGCAAACTGCCTGCACACTAGCGTCATGTCAAGTGCAGACATACAGTATGTGAGCACAGATGTTCAACGTGGTGCAAGCTCATGCTCAAATGGGCCATGAAGATAGCATTACCACCTTTTGTCACTTCCTTCAATCAGATCACACAGACCTTGTATGGCTTTATCTATTCTCCCCTGGGTAAAAGGATAAATAGAGGGTAGAATACGTGGATAAGGGCCAATCACTGTGGTTTCATTTCGGTGCCAAAATGACCTATTGTTACAAAGGTGTGGAGAGGAATTACAACATTCACTATTAAATCAACTGCCAACTGTTGATATTCACTGCTCTGGGTTCTGAGTTTTTTCCTTCACTCATTTACCTAAAAGTGGCACTGAGGCTTTCAGTCATGATCTAATAAAGATATTACTCTGACATTTCCTACGGCCATCTGTCTTTGGAATGTCAAGCAGTATTACAAACACCATAATCTTTACACTTCTCAAACAAACAATACATCTTCTTCAGGTGATAAAACATGTATTTATTTACCAAGATGAAGCACAAGTCAAGTTCTTTAATCATCCACACAGTTTGTGTTTGCCATGACTTACATTGAGTGTCTCATGGTTGTTATATTTGGCTCTGATGAGAGGGGTCTGGATAATGTCCAGGTTAGTTCCTGTCACAGTCACTGGGGTATATCCACTGTGAGAGAGAGAGAGAGAGAGAGAGAGATGATCGACAACAACGTTTAAAGGATAGCTCAGATTATTTTGACAGATGGTGATGACTCACTAGCAGTGATACGGCTGCATCAGTATCTATTTGCGGTAAGTACATTTTGTAAAACGAGTGTTTACTGACTGCTATCTGCCCTTGTACCGTACCTGTAGATGCTCCACTCAGGCTCTATCTTGGTGATAGTGGGGTCTTCAACATACTCAAAGCGCAGGTCTTTCTGGAGATGAGCCCTGTCTATGTTCACAGACACAGACACGTTTCCGAATCCATTCAGGGACGCATGGGTGCGACAGGTGAGCCACTGACCCCCCCTCCTGAAAAGAACATAGGGTGATTCAAATCAGTTAGTTATTGACTTAGGAGCGATCTCTTTAGTTGTGTATCACTGTGGGAGCAGACTGCTACAAAATTCCAAAACCAATACAAATGTCATAATTAAGATGATGGAACGGTTTCTTAAGTGAACATGGATAGAGAGTTTTGCCTAAAAATGGAATAGCGCATTGATCAGTGTTAAATCCTTAGTAATAATAGTGTTATTTTTTAAAACTTATTATTTAATAAAATGCTATTTAAAATTCATTGAAACATATCAATCAAGCAAAAATCCAGCATTTCCAAAACATTCCTTGAGCGCAATATTTTTTACCTTCCAGGACATTTAATTATCGACTTAGCTTATGTGGGAAATAAAACGAACCAACAAAGATGAGAACTGTCAGAGGGTATAAAACCCTGCAGTTTGACTAACACAAGCTTTGACTGAGCTTTTAATTGACTCTTTGAGTGTGATTGGCAGGATCAGCTGTGTCTAACCTCAGATAAGTGCACGGCTGGTCCTTAAACATGATTGACACGTTGCTCCCAGCGTCAAGGTGGCTGCCGGTGATGTTGACGATGGTTCCCCCAGAGACCGGACCTCGGCTGGGCTTCAGGTTGATAATCCTTGGGATCTAGGCAAAAAAGGGACAGAGTTTGTACAATAATATCCCTTTAAGTTTTAATATATACCTTCACTTACTAATCCCACTGACATAAACTACACTATGGTGGAAAGCTTTAACACAGCAACAGCTGACTGGAAAACAGGCACACAGTAAATCCTCCTTCAGTTCATGTGGCCTTCTTATAATCTCATCTCCAGTCTGCTGCGCTGTGTGACATCTAGACCTGACATCATATAATTCTGTACAGGGAGAAATAAACCTCGGCCATCGTCCATTAATAGCTGGCAGTAAAAATTTTAAAACTCCATAAAACCAGAACATAATGGTAAAAATGGCAATTTAATTTCAGTGTGTGCGAGTGATGCTGATTAATTGCGGCCAGCATGGGTTATAAAAGAACACAGAAAGTGTGTTATGTGTGTTTTTGTATGTCATCAGAAGAATGTTTTTTTTATAACCATCAGTATTTCTTTCTGTGCTCATTAGCGACTGCCAGTTATTTCTCACTGCTGATAAACAGATTTGAATACTTAGAGGGAGTATGAGTATGAATGAGTATGAATTACAAAAAGGCAAATCCAATGATGATACAAAATACATCGATTTTTCTTTGTATACTCACCACAAAATAGTAGTTTTTGGAGGACTTTGCCATGAATTCTGGTCTGCACTCTCCAACCCCGACACAGACCTCCGCGTTCCCAGTGTACTGGCTCTTCTCTGCTTTACCCATCTCACACACAATCCTAGAAACACAAATTAGCATAATTGTAATTATATATTATATATTTATAATATATAATATTATTTTTATATATTATAAATGCATACAGAGACATACACAAATGTATGTCACATGCAAAAATGCCTTGAGAAAGTCTATAGAAAGTCCTTCTGCAGTTAGTTTGCCTTGCCAGCAAATTCTGAGCAAATTGTGTAAAAAGGAATGGACCTAAACCTGTTAAAACCTTAATAAAATAATGTATTATTTGGCAGAGACTTCACCTCTCGAACACTGCCAACTTGTGGAAGAAAAGGGAAAAGTCTCTCCATTTACATATGACCTCAAATCCAGCCACCTCTTCTGCTGGGTCAGCACTTGCTTAGACTGGCACACAACTTACTTTCTTAGCAGAAGAAGCCCTGGGGTCTGCTGATAAGCCAACTTTTAATCTAGTTTAAATAATATGACAGACGGCACCTGTAAGGAACCAAAGCTCTGGATTAAACTCAAAATGTCAACTAAATGTAACTTCCTGAACTTTCTAAAATGATTATGGAGCAGAGCGGGCTTGAGTGAGTGGATGCATGTGTGTGTGTGTGTGTGTGTGTGTGTGTGTGTGTGTGTGTGTGTGTGTGTGTGTGTGTGTGTGTGTGTGTGTGTGTGTGTGTGGGAGTGTGTGCACCTGTGCTGCTATACAATATGGAGGCCTGATGCCTGCATGTCCATATACTGCAGAAATGTATTTTACTCTATTCTGCACTGCTGTGACTTGAAGCTGAATCCAACTTCTGGTCTATAGATATTAGGCTTATTTAGCAAGAGGTTACTGATTATGTGATAGTCTCTCTCTATCTTTCTTTGATAGAGCATTACTTACTACTTATTTTTTTGGTGCCTCACACACACACACACACACACGCACACACACACACACGCACGCACACGCAACACACACACACACCACACACACACACACACACACACACACACACACACACACCACACACACACACACACACACACACACACACACACACACACACACACACACACCACACACACACACACACACACACACACACACACACACACACACACCCTGAGGTGAGTTCTCTGGCGTAGTATCAGTTGGTCAGGCTGACTTGTTACAGCTCGTTGTGTGTGCTAACAAAGGGAACATAGTGTTGTGCCTGTCTGGAGCCCTGTAGGGCATGAAGTGCTCAGCTCTGGTCAAAGAGCTTTCAATAGGATTATGTCAATTCAAGTGAGAACGGAAACAGTCTGTTGGATTCAGGATTTCACTTTGCTACTATTCCAAAACACGGTTTGATTTCTCCCTATGGTTTCCGTACAGCTGTAAAAGCCTATATCCCGAGACATTATCTACATTTTGGTCGATAAAATGGTGAAGTTCTACATCAGAGCATGTCATTTTATGTGATCATAATAGCTGCTGCCTCAAATGGGAATCATGGTCTACAAGAATGTACATAGAGACTAGAGGAGGATGTCTCTTTTTATTACACAGTGATGCTGGTGTTCATTTAGTCGTCAATTTAAAGTGTGACTTACTGCTCAGCAGGGATGTAGCCCTCTCGTATGGGGGTGCAATCCACCTGGGCCACCTTCACGTTGTCCTGGATCTCTCTGAAATCCAGGCCCAGGTTCTCACCACGAATAGTCACGAGCGTGCCGCCCTCCCTGGGCCCCCGGAGAGGTTTGATCTGTTGAAACATAAATCATGATTAATGATTTTGAAGACGGGATTTTGCTTGTTTTCCGCAAATTACATATTGCCTTGCAAAAAGCCTTTTCCTGGCAACACAACTTGCACCTATGAAGGAGAGTTTCATTTAAAAGTCAGTAAACATGAAATAAAGTGGTGGCGAAGTCGATAGGGACTTGGCTAGGCAACTGGAAGGTCACCAGTTCAAGTCCCGGCAAGACCAAGTGCTACCGAGGTGTCCCTGAGCAAGGCACTGTTCCTTACACTGCTCCCCGGGCGCTGTTCAAAATGGCAGCCCACTGCTCCTAACACTAGGATCGGTCAAATGCAGAGAAACAATTTCCCCACCGGGATTAATAAAGTATATCAAATCAAATTAAAGAGTCAGGGTCACATGATTGTCATTTCTCAATCTTGTATTCACAGAAAACCATGACAATATACTATTTATGATTAACTTTAAACTTGGCGCTGGGTGACATCTGTGCAGTAATCACAGTGTCCTATGATTTATCAGCAGCATCTCATTGTTGATGAGGTCGTTCCAACATCCATCAGCACTTTACACACACAATTACTCTTTGGCCAGTGAGTGTGTATTATGGCGGCTCAGATGGATGGATGTTCGACGGACACAGAATAGTCTGTTTCCATCTGTCTCTGTCAAATAGTCCTCCATGCTGCATGCTGCAGTAAGGGGCCCAGCTTTAGTGGTGCTGGGTCACCACCCCCTCAAAAAAAAAGTGATCACAAAAAAAGAGGCTGACACACTTGTTGTTTCCCTGCTTGATTTTATAGTTTGCATTGTGCCCCCCGTGCTGAATGAGTGTGTGTGTGTGTGTGTGTGTGTGTCTTTATATTGTGGCTTGGAACTCTTGATTGTTCTGCTATGATAAACCTCATGTTACTACTACATGAAAACAAACCATTTATATTTGACAATTTGATTATTCAACTAATAAGTGATGTAAATTAACCAGCTGGGCGGGACAGGGAACGATCCAATCGAATGACAGAGATGACCTCAATCCCGGTCATACACAACAAGCCGGCCATGTGGGAGACAGGGTTTGAGTATGGTTCAGTGTCTCCGATTAATAAGTTTTCCTGCTGATATCCTAATGAAAAAAAAGCCTTCCAGGAATGGGGCTACAATACAGGCAATTAAAAGACTGCCCAGATGCATTGTGGCTCTCCATTTATTAGATAATATGGAGGATTGCAAGGGACAAAGAGTTCAAGAGAAATAGAGAAGGAGAAGGCAAAAGAATGAAAAAGAGGGAGAGACGCAATGAGGCGTTGATTAGATTTGTGACTTTGACAAGATAATTGACGGTTGGGTAGAGGCAAACACTTAATCACTTCACTTTCTCTCTTCCATCCTTCTATGAGAGTCTCTCCCTCTCATATTGTTGATGGGCGATGTCATTATAATGAAGCGTATTAGAATGCATTAGAGCCACGGTCGTCTTGGAAAAGTCCTCACTCCTCACCCACTGACAGATTTTATGGGGGACGTGAGAAGGCTGCAATATGTCCCTGCTGCAGCCTCAGGGATGTGAGCAGAAATACAGGGCCTGTCTCCAGGAATAAATCCACTGCCCGCAGGGAAGGCAAACAGTGGAGTGGACCAATGACAAAGTGCAATGTAGTGATGGAGACTCTTTAATAAGCACATCAACAGACAACATATCACCATCTTTTTCTCACCTTCTTCAACAGTTGATTTATTTTGTCCTGGATACAAATAATCAATATGGTCTTGGCTACTTACAAAAAGTAGAGTAAAACAGAGTGCTTAGTGTCCAATGATTCCAGACCTTTCTCTTCTGTGTCTGACTATCCTGCTTTATTTAGGAAAATAAAAGGAAGATGAAACCCATCAGGCTAACATGATCTGTTGAGATGCAGGATTATAGCAAATAATGGGGTTTGTAGTGGCGCTTTCTGTGAATATCCACCAAGGTCGGCCACTTATCTGTATGCTGGTCTATGTAGGATGGTGTAGGGAGAGGAGAGTGGACAGAGGAGAAGGGATTATCATTCTATTTCTGTATCCTCCTTCCTTCTCTCTGTACAAACCTATCACTCCCCAGGACACCAGAAGGGAATCCCCCTCTCTGTCTTTTTATCCACGCTTCGCTAGTCAGTCACCATCTGCTCCTACCTCTCGTTCTCGGAGAAAGCATGCAGAGATGACCTGTATATCCATCATGGGGATATGGGGAGGGTCTTCCACCACCCCTTCAGCTTAACATGGCTCTATTCTGGCTCAGTCTACCCATCCGTCACTACCTTCTTTCATGTAGACTCAATCCATCCTCCTCTCCCTTCATCTTGGCATCTTTCCATCCATCTTTCCATTGCATCTTTTTATCCTTCATGTCGCTGACCCGTATCCCTTCTGCTTTGCCCGTTTAATATGTCTTACACAGGTCAAGTCCATCTGCCTTTCACGGTGTCTGTGGTTTTCCGGAGTTTTCAGGGTTAAGTGGGGGTTTGCGTTACCATCTGGTTTGAGTTGATCGATAACTAGCAAGAATGAGAACGATTAGTCTCCTTTCTAGGTCTAACATGGACAATCCTCCTTTAGTGTTTGTATGTCCACTATAACAGTAAGATGGTGAGTCAATTCTCTCAAAAAAATGTCAATGTGAAAGTCACAAAACAATAAATAAATACAAATAAGCGATTTTCCGCTTACAGTTTTATTTATTTTAATATTTGACCCTTATTTTGGGTCTTCCTTTGTTGGATAGGAAAGGGATTAACAGAGGCTGTGACATGCAGCAAAGGGCCACAGATCGGACCTGAAGACGGACCTGGTGAAAGGACCCAGACAAAGTACGTGGGGCTGGACCGCCACAGGCAAGCCACTGGGGAATTCACCCCTTACACTTAAGACAATATATTTAAAAGACCTGTGATTATGGTTTATCACTTTGATACTGTAGAATGTAAATCGTTCCTTACACATGCTGTCAAACTAAATAGCTTGACTCACTCTTCAATTATGTTAAAATGACCAACTACCACGCTGTCCTGCTGATGAATATATGCTCCCATCAGTGCTCTGTTATTAAGTACTTACGTATACGCATCAAGATATACTTAAAGTACCAAAAGTAAAATTAGTCATTGTGCAGATTGGTCCATTTCAGAATAATATATATATGATATGTTTTATAATTATTGATCATTAAAGTGTTATAATGACTTTGTATACTGCAGGGTAGCTTGTGAATTTACTCCGGTGTAATTTAAGTTTAAAGTGTTATATTTCACATCTTTAAACAAATTCAGAAAAGTAAATAAAGGTACTAAATAAATGTAGTGGACATAAATACACTATTTACGTCTGACTTGTAGTGGAGTAGAAACACAAAGTAGCAAAATACTCTACAATTCCCTCAAAATTGTATTTAAGTACAGGACTTAAGTAAATGGACTTTGTTACTTAACACAACTGCGGTGATGTGTGTTGTGGTGTGTGTGTACCTGTGTGATCCTCGGGTGGGTGCACTTGCTGTTGATGCCGTTGTGCTCCAGCCACTGGTTCTCGGGGTGGGGGCAGTGCTGTTTGAGGGTGCAGCGGTTGTCTCCTTTACACCACACACATCCAAACAGAGGGTCCGCCTTCAGACACAAACCGCAGCTCCCACGCTGGGCGTCGCACTTGTACAGATGGACTGTGCAGGAGGGAGGAAAGAAACAGAGAGAAAGAAAACAAGGGGGAAGGAAGGAAGGAGGTAGAGAGAGATGGAGAAAGAGTGGAAACCTCAAGTAAACAACCTTTGTAAAACTGATTACAGTGCAGCTAATGTATGCAAATGTATTTTGCGCAAAAGCCTCTAAAATGACGGACAAACACTTTAAAACACTTAAACTACAATTTGGGTTGTTTACCCAAATCTCTCATTGTCTGTCAGCTGCTGTTTGAAATATGCGACAGGGAACTGAACATTTAGAGAGATACATTTGTTGATATCTTTGTCTCATTATTTCTCCATCTATCATCAACTCTATATACTCCCTCCTCTCTTTGAGTTTCCTTCCCTTCTGCTTCTCTCATCTGCTCATTCACCACATATTTAACATATCATCTCCATGGCAACAAGCCAGCCATTTTCTTTTTAATTGCCATTAGATGCATGTGTGATCTGTCCATCAAAAGATGCCCCCGGAGCCGCTTCCTCTACAGGCAAACCAAGGTATGAGGATGGTGAGAAGGATTCTCTAGTTCTAGCATCTTCCCTTTTCCTTCAAACTTTTGTTTCTCTTTTTATTTTCCTATCATGCTCAGGGATATGTTTTGTACACTGTATTTAACTCAGACACATAAATACTTTACAAACGTTGCCTTGCAGCACACGCCGTATTTTAACAATATGCCCGACTCTACTGCCTTAGGTTAAAATAAGTAGTTTTCCTGTCAAAGAACTACATCCCCCAGCATGCTGCTGTTTCCAGCAGGGATCACTCACAGTGGTGGATGCTGAAAGCCTCACATTTCAGTCATCCCACATGAAACGTAAGTAATTGGATGGTTGGAGAGAATAAAACGAAAGGCAGCATTTATATCAAGATATTGATTTGTTTTCTACCGTTCCTCAGCATGAAACAGTTATTTAACTTTGCTTATTTCAGATTTAGTTATTTCTAAGCAATTTGACATTTGTTTGTATCAACATGTATTGCCATTACTGCTCTTCTGAAATGTATGAGAACGTAAACAACTGGAGTTGCTGAGATGAGAGCAATTAAATGAAGGAAGCAGACAGCAGTGCCGACGGAGATGGATAGCTTGCCAAACTCTGTTGATAGAAAAAATAAGGGAAACAAGCTGAAAATAAATAATGTTTTTGAAAATTGTATTTAGAGAGCTGGGCCAAACAGTGAAGTGCAGAAGGGAACGAGATCTACAGAATGTGAAGCGTAAGAGAGGATGCGTTAAAGTTAACCACTCTAAACGCAACATCAGGGGATGGATGCTGCACCTCAGCACACCGCCCGCCTGTTGCCATGGAGACTCCAAGGGCAACAATAGGGAAGCAGCAGCTTTCCTGTGTGTGTGTGTGTGTGTGTGTGTGTGTGTGTGTGTGTGTGTGTGTGTGTGTATGTGTGCATTTGTGATTAAATGAGAGTTTATGGGAGAATATGACAACTATGTGTTTGTGGTTTCTAATAAAGCAGTGAAAACTATGGAAAGAGCTGATATGGACTCACAAGTGTGTGTGTGTGTGTGTGTGTGTGTGTGTGTGTGTGTGTGTGTGTGTGTGTTGGAGTGTGGGTTTGTGTCCGTGTGTGTGTGCATGCTTACCTTTGTTGTTGGCGGGGTTGTCAATGGTGAAATCTCCGTTCCAGATGACGGTCAGCACCACGGGAAGACTGCTCATCTCCATCCCATCATAGAAATACTATCACCATGGCAACCGGAGGGGGAAAGAGGTAGAGACGTGGAAGAGGGTATGAGAGAGAGAAGCTATTGAGCCTCTTTAAACTGTCTGTTATCCTCCAGTCCAAAAGGCTCTGATAGAACAATACGGTTCTGAATACAAAACGCATCATCAACAGGTGGCTGTAGACAGTCAACACACACATGAACTCACACACACTGAACTCACACACATGAACTCACACACACTGAACTCACAACAAATGTAATATACAGAGAGCTTTGGAAAAAGATAATTTTTCACTTGGCTCTATAACACTAGTAGCAGGAGGGTTGGTGATAGAATCATAATTTTCTGCTAAATTACAGTTTCCCTTCTTCTCTGCTCAATCACAGTACAATATTTGGATTGTACTGTGATTATACACACAAAACCTGCAGACTTCTCCAGACAGTGACATACGCACACCCAAAGGGATGAAGATAGACAGGAAGATGAGATGTTATTGTATCAACAGACGATTAGCATCAAGACCAGTAAAAAGCCTTTTTCATGCTAGTCTTTCATTGCTGTCAATGTATTATTCAGTCAGTGAATGGAGCATGATCACAGGCAGCGAGGGGAGACAGAGTCAGCCTCTTGTCTCATCAGCCCACTGCCTAGCTGGGAAAGGAAAAACCAGTCAGCCGGAATCAGTGTGTGTGGCTGTATGTGTGTGTGAGAGACATTAAAAAGATATTTAATAGGAACACTTTATAGAAATGGGGCATTCAGTGATGACATCCCAGAAAGGCTAGCCAGTAAGATACACACACATGCACACACCCGTCCTCACCGATGTGTTTTGACACTGCACTGAGGAGCTGTTGAAGCGCAGGGCAGGAACGCGGTGCTCGCTCCCCTGGATGGTCAGCAGACACTCATACCCTCTCTGACCCGACTGGGGCTGGGGGAGGTTCTTCGCCCGGAGAGTGATGGGCTTCACCACGTCCACCGGCACCAGGATCCTGTCTGCAGGCAGCAGCTGGGGACATCCCTGGAAGAGAAACAAACAGAAAAGAGAGGATCGTTTGTTTCCATGAGTCCTCTCATCAGGTTTTATGCATCATTACAAATGAAATGGATGTTACTTCATAAGATCCTGCCATGTCATTTTGCACTCGAGTTATTAGCAGTTCAGATTGTCTGTCACCTGAGGCACACAGTGAAATGCAAAACTCTCTTTTATGGATTATGGAATGACCACACAGTCTGTAGCTATATTATGTAAAGCTTTATGACATTATTCAAAATATGTCTACAGGCTTATCAATTGGCCATAACATGTGCATAGATAAGTCAGATCATATTGGAATGATGATTTATAATTACCTCTCTGTGCTGACATTTTTGAGGACCTACAAATACATGGTCTTAACTCATAACTAGTTTGACCAGTGCTTTATTATGAATGAAATTACAATACAGGAAATAACTGACTTGTAATGTTTAACACAGAGGGAGGTTGTGGATCTGACCAGGAAGATATATTCAAAAAAGTGTTTCATCAGGTAGCAAATCACAGTTCTTCTCAAACATTCATGTAATTGAATAACATAAGCACTCCAGTGTGTGCCTTTTCCAATGTTTTAGTGCTTTTGTTTATGATAGTCCCTGTTGGGTCTCCTGCTAACATTCACTGTGAGTGAAGGACCAGCTCAACAGGTACTCCATCGTCATTATACACCGGACAGGAGCAATAATGATACAATGAAGTACACACTTAAACATAATTTATATGTGCTAACAGTTTGTATTAGCATGTTTGGTTTTAACTGGTGGATTGAAATCAGGTTGACAGAAAAGAGGAAGACTGCGAGGAGGGGTGACGAGATGGACAAAGAAGAGAAAAGGGAAGGAGAGAACAAGTGGGAAGGAAAGCAGGAAAGTGACTGACAAGCAGAAGTGAAAGATGACAGAGAGGTAAAGAGAGACAACAGCACTTCTATGAACTGTTTCATGTTTTAGAGAGAGCGGTGAATAGAGGGCAAAATAGGTAAAAATGAGAGAGAAACCACAAAAGAACCGATAGACTGAATGAGGCAAAAAATACCATTAAGCATATGCGACAGGAGGAGCTTTAGCATGTCAAAGAGGCAGGAGGAAAGAGGGCGAAAAGAAGGAAAGCAGATAAGATGATCCCCCGCCTGGATGGAGCTGGGGGGATTGAAGCAGAGCGCACGTTGAACTGGGTGATAACACTTGTTTGAAGTTCATTAAAAGCCACTTGATTGGGTGAGGCTGAGTGACTGGCTGCGTGGTGAGAGAGGGGAACGCTCTGTGACACTATTCACAAAGTCATTATAGATAAATGACAAACAGGGCGAGGGGGTTCAGCGGTGGAGGAGAGGAAGGAAGAGGTGGAGCATGTGTTTGCTCTTCCAAATCTCATTTTCCTCACAACGAACTGCCCGTATTTGGAGTACGAAGATGAGTGTGCGAGCAAAGAGAGATTCATTCCATTTTTAATCACATCTCTTTCAGGTAATACTCTTGAACAATGGGGACATTACATCTGATCTGGTTTGTGGAAATGAAGGCATGGGAAACACTGGAGTGTGACTTAACACGGTGACTTTCACTGAGTCTCGAAGACACAGATCTACACTGATAGTGGCAGATAGTGATAGGAATGTGCACAGACACACTTTCTTATGCATGCAAGCAGATTCAAGTTTATTACTCACTGACATGTGGGTGCACACTCACCCTAACACACACACACACACACACACACACACACACACACACACACACACACACACACACACACACACACACACACACACACACACACACACACACACACACACACACAAATGCAAACGCATACTAAGTATAAACTACAGCCTTGGAATTTCATTTCATTTCAGTATATGATAAACAGCCAGACAGCATCTCTTGCATCATCTGCCTTCATGAAAAACATGTCATAGATGGACAACTTTAAAAAGCAAGCTGCTACACACACACACACACACACACACACACACACACACATACCATGTATGCATCACTTCAGGGGACATTACATTGACTTACATGCATTTCCTGGAGACTTATCGGAGACACATGCCTAACCCTAACCCTTAACCTAACCCTTACCCTAAACCTAACCAAGTCTTCACCCTAAAATTAATGATTCCCCTCATGGGGACCTTCAATTTGTCCCCATAAGGGAAGCCAGTCCCCACACGTGACAATGTAAACAGATTTAGGTCCCCGCAAGTATAGTAATGCTAGACACACACACACACACACATACACACACACAACACACACACACACACACACACACACACACACACACACACACACCACACACACCCACACCACACCACACACACACACACACACACACACACACACACACACACACACACACACTATTGTATCTGTTCATTATCTCCTTCTACCGACAAAAGGGTGATTTTACAGCTTTGCTCCAAATACTCATCTGTGTAATCTCGGTTAAATGATCCCCCCCAGTGACACATGAACACACTCACACAAGAAATAGTTACTACTTCAAATTGCGTCAAAGTCAATACATGTTTTATTCTCACCCTTGCCATGTTTTGCGATAGAAGAAACAGCAGTGAATAAATTGCACTCAACAGATGCCCTATTTCATTCATGACCATGAAAAATGTATAATGTGGCAGGGAATCCACACACAAGCGTGTTAGCTGTTGGTACAGCGTGTTTTTTCTACTACTTAGCCCTGGTTTTTCTGTTGTATACATACACACTCAGACAAACTAATATTACACACGGTGAACGCTGCCAGCAGTCCCCGAGGCCGAGGTGGCTCTCAGTGGTTCGCACAAACACACGTGAATCCTAGTTGGCTCCTGAAGCCTGTGTTGTTGGCAGCCATGCTCGCTGTCGCCCTTTTAGATTTATGTCAACATTTAAGTTGATCTAACGTCAGTCCGTTTATATCCACTCCCATTCCTCTTTACCATAAACGGCTCTAGTGCGATAAATAACAGAGGAACAAATGCAAATCACACATACAGGCGGCAGTGGCTCAGTCTGTAAGGACTTGGTCTTGGAACCGAAGGGTCGCCGGTTCACGTCCCGATCGGACCAAAAAAAAGATGGAGTGAGCTGGTAGCTTGAGAGGTGCCAGTTCACCTCAAAGGCCACTGCCGAGGTGCCCTTGAGCAAGGCACCTAACCTCGAAACTGCTCCCTTGGCGCCGGGTACCTGGCAGCCTCTCTGCTCTGCCACCTCTCCTATCTGCATGTGTGTTTGTGCATGTATATCCTCTGTGTTTGTGCATGTATATCCTCCCCTGTGTGTGTAATGTGTGTAAACACAACAGAGTGGGGAAAGAAATGTCCCTGTAAGGGATTAATAAAGTGTATCTTCTTCCTCTTCATGCACACAATCCAGATACAAACACAGAGGTGGAATAAGTATTCGGATGCTTTACTTGAGTGAAAGGGCCAATACATTATTATCAAAATACTTAATTACAAGTACAAGTCCTGCATTCAAAATCTTAGTTGAGTAAAAGTACAAAAGTATCATCAGCTAAATGTACTTAAAGTATAGAAGTAAAACAAATCATTGAGCAGGTTCTGTGTATATAATTATATTTATTTATGCAACATTTCTGGGTAGCATTTTACTTTTATAGACACACAAAGTTGTGATTGACTTTCTGTAAAATATTTAAATAATTTGACACTTGTTGTTAAAAAGTAGTGGAGTAGAAGTAGCATAAATGGAAATACTCAAGAAAAATGTATAGTTAAGAGCAGAGGCAAGTGAGAAAAAGTATTTGTAACTTTGTTGGAACAAATCTTTAATGTATTTGTTTCCTGGCTGAAGAAAGAGATAAGTGGTCTGTCAGTAGGAGGTGAGACAGTCTTTAACTAAATTTACAATGTGGCGGCACAGACTAGTTTACATGTCCTTGTCTGTGTCTTTGTGAGAAGATGTGAACTTCAGTGGCATGTAATGAAGGACTAGAAGGAGAAAAGTAACTGTTAATATGACTCATATCCAAATAATAAGCGCTGACTTCTGAAAACCAAGTTGGCGGTTCTCTTTTTATCTGTGTAATTATCTTTTATTCTTCCTCTCTCCATCACTGACTCATTGTTTTTTCCTGTGACCTCCTCTCTGTTTTTCTCATTCTTTCTCCCTCCATTATTCGTCTATCCAAACTCAGCATACGTTGTTCATCCAGCTCACTGACCCTTCTCCTCTTCTCTTATCAACTCCCACTCACTGACTCTCTCTCTCCCCCTCTCTTTCCTTACTTCTTTTCTTGTGAGGGACCTACTTAGATCTGATAATTAGAGGCTGGTGGGAGGTATGAAGGGTGGAGATGGGAGAGTGACAGAGAGTAGGCAGCGGAGTGGGAACTGTGAATGTAAAAGCCCTTGGCATAGTTTGAAGCAAGAAGAGAGGCCAATAATTATAGCAGTGTAAGGTGTGAAGATGAAGAGGATCTTGAGTTTTCATACACTGCACACACACACACACACACACACACACACACACACACACACACACACACACACACACACACACACACACACACACACACACACACACACACACACACACACACACACACACACACACACACACACACACACACCCACACACACACACACACACCACACACACACACACACACACACACACACACCTTGTGGTTACCAAGAACTCCCCTTAACTGGACTCTGTTTTATCATCTCCTGCAGAGCCTGGGGCAAAGACACTCTCCTGCTTTCTGTTCATCTTCCATCTCTCCCTGCTGATCTCCACCTTGTTTCTAAACAGCCCTTTAGTCCTCATCTTAACTTTTTCCCCCCCCAATACCTCTCCCTTTTCTGTGCCTGCATTTATGTCCTTTCTGTCCTGCGTTTTGGGCTCAAGCCATTGCACAAATAGTTGAAACCCTGTGATATAACAACAACGTCTTAAGAGGATTAAATGGATTGTAAACTAACAGTTTATCCAGTTAACCCGTATTAAACCAATTTATATCAAATCAAATACTGAAATTAGTCCTGATGCTACACTGAAGAAACTGATATGTTGACTTTAATTAAGTGTATGATGTCAACAAATAACACATTATTGTATTAGGTTCGTTAAAATAAATACAATTACGTTTAAATACAAAATATTAGGTTCAATTTTATATTTGAGCTCTCAACTTACCAAATACAGTTATGTTAAATGACTGTATTTATATATGTATTTTATTATTAAAATAATACATTTAAATAAAGTCAGCATTTGAGTTTGTTCAGTGTATTGCAGTTCATGGCATTGTGAAGTTCTTCAATGGTTCACTTTTAGTTTATTTGTATCGATGTTTCCCTCATCAGTTGTATTTGCCTCACTCTTTATCAGTCAGTGTTTGTGTATGACATTGATTTGTCTATGAATTGAACTGAAGCACCTCTCTTTACCAATCCTGTCCAATATTAGCAACTAGCAGCTATTACTAGCCTGTTTAATACAATTATCTTGATCCACTGATCAATATGTTCTTGGTAAATAAACTCCCAGGCATTGATCACTGCAGCACACACAACAAGTAAATAATGCAATGAGGGGGTAGTGATATGTATTCAGTAACAATACAATGTTGTTGTATTTTTTACTGGCTGACTATATTAAAGGAAGGCTTAGAAACAGCTCAGGAAATGAAAATGCTGTGTTGTAGACTAAAGAAGAAGAGAGGGAAATATCATGTTTTTCATTCAGAAAGTGTCCTGAATGGTGGATGGAGTTATAAAAAGTGATAAACATGCGGGTAAAAAACACTGCTTATTGATCAAACAAGCAAAGCCTAGTCATATAATAAATGCAACAGTAGTGGTCAGGAATAACTTGAGCTATTATTCTGTGTAACAAAGAGAAGCTGTATGCAGGTGCTTTGTCAGTGAGAAGGGCTTAGTCCTTGAGATGTGTGGAGGGCAGACTGGGACGTGGCCTTGGTTAATGTGCCAACAGGCAAACGTCTGATCCGTGTGCCCATATCATCACTGGCATGAATAAAAAGGCACCCACTGTACGCTGAGGCCTGGCTTTAACTCTGTCCTGCCATGCATACTAACAACAAGCTCAACCAGTAGGGAGATTATTCTGGCCACCATCATTAGCATAGAGTTAAGGGATTATTCAGATCGCTGCCTGAAATCCCTTAATTGTAATAGTACACAAAAAGTCATCTGCAGCAGAAAGAGGCCATCCCATCTCATTGAGCAAAGATGACGTGTTGCCTATCAGGACATTTTGGGAATGGTTCTATGGCTCGTTGTGCGTGTGCCTGCATGTTCTTAAGCTTGTGTGTGTCCAATTCATTAATTCAAACCGGTAAACCACAAATCTGGCAGCAAATGCACGACCTTGGATTTGAAGGGTTAATTAAAAGCAAATTAAAAGTCATTAAGCCTGCAAAACACCTGCCTTCTCTGAAACAACACGTCAAAAAAAAAGGATGTCATTAATGTGCTAATGCCAAATCCCCTTCACTTTATTTACGGTTTTCTTTTAGTCAGCAACACAATAGGAGAGGATTCCCACATTATTATCCTCAGTCAATATTGACCACCAGCCTCTGAGTTAATTGGAAAAGTAAACCTGCAAAGACTCCAGCTTGGGCCTGACTAAGCAGAAGGTTCAAAAGGATAATGGAGATTGCGAAAAAAGAAAATAATAACGTCTACGCAGGTTGAATGGCTCCGGGGAAACATGGGTGGAATAACACAATTGAGAGCAGACTGCTCATCAAAGCAGGCAATCTGGCTAAGCTTGTCCCTGCCCGTCGAGCAGCGTCTGCCAACCAGACAGGAGCGCTAGTGATCTTCATCACAGCTCACCTCCGGCTGGGATTAACAGGCCACTAACTCCCTGTAAAAGCCTCCCACTGAAAACTACCGTGACTTGGCAGGGCACAGGCAAAAGCTCTATTCAAACACACACACATATACAAATATATAAAGCCCACTGATTCAGACATACTGTTACACTGCCACACACCAGAGGTTACACACAGACACAGTGTGTCTCAAAACCTTCCTTCACTGCTCTGTACTGAAGGCCGACCCTGTGGCAGGACTCTAAATCAGAGTGAGACCTCTCTCACAGGACTGGAAGTGGTTGGGTGTGGGGGGGGGATTCACTGAATGTACCTCGTCCAGTGAGTGGCTTGTCCTCTGCAGCAGAGCAGACTAATTACGGCGGGCTCTGCTTCGGCGGGAATAGAACCGGCTGCCAATACTATTGATAATTCACACGGACTAAGCTGTCACAGGGAATAGGGATGGGCAGGAGGAAATGGCTGCGTTTTATTAGTTTCCACTACCCTTTGATGTGCAGTCAAGAGCGAGACATGGCGAGAGACTCGTGCCAGATGGAAGCACTATAGCTGAAAGGTGTCTCAAGCCTTTTAACATAACTCTTTTTGCATGTGAAAAGCAGAATAACAGCTATTAGAGTCACGTACCCGAACATTCCCCCCAATTTATTTCCCTGTGTTTATTACCCAGCTGGCCATATAAGAAGAGGCAGGCTGGAGCTGGGAAGCATCAAACCATGGTTATTTTAAATCTCACTGATTGTACAGGCAGGACATGATGGGCCTCTTGATGGCAGCTCATTGAGGGATTTCATCTCCAGTGAACGTACAGGGGGGGGGGCGGGGGGGTTGATGTCTGAATAATAATACATTTTTATTGAAGTGCTTTATCAGGTGCTCAAAGAAACTTTACACTGCTGAAAATAATTAAACAGATAAAAAGTTGAATTAAAAATGAGCAAGGACACAACATTAATCACATGTTAAAAGCCAGTCTGAAAAGGTGAGTTTTGGTCAGTGTCTTAAAGTTATAAAGGAATAAAGGAATAATAAAAAATGATCTTGACACTCACCTCAGCCTTCTTGACTCGGCCCTCCTGGAAGGAACATGTTCGAGGATCGTGGGTGCAGTCATGTCTGTATTTACACCAGTGGCACTGGTAAGGACTGCTCACACAGGACAGACACCTGCATAGAGAACAGACGTGAGCCAAACACATTGTTGGGAATTAGTATTGAACAGGCAGCAAATATGCTAGAGAAGCTCAATATGCCTACTTACTCATATATACAATACAATTTCCAACAGTTTAGGAATCAATGCCATTTCGTTTTCATCAATATGAAGGGATTACAATTATGACAAGCTGTCTGCTGGAGAGAAGTGCTCCAGGGAGGAAATAGACTTACGACTTGTGTACGCTACAGTTGTAGAAAACAAAACTGGTGTTTGCGAATGCCAGGCCTGTCTCCTTGGATTTGAGATAGAGCTGCACGACCTGGTGGTCCCCTGGAGAAAATAGATGATAGTAAAAATGTGTAAGTAATATGAAGAAAGACATTTGGGTAATTTGTCACATTTTAAACCCATTGTTGACAGTTTGATTCCTCTTTTGAAATCAGACCAACAATATATAATGTAATGGTAATAGCTGCAGTAGGTACACACTTTTAAAGACCCACTGTCTAACAGTTTGATTATTTTCAGTGTCTAGTCACATTTCCCATGAAGAAGAGATGACTGAGCCACAGGTGCTGAGCCTGTTGCAGAGGAGAGGCAGGATCTGAGGAGAGGAGGAGACTGAAGGGTTTTGTTGGGTTTAGCCTCCCTATACCTGCCGCCTCACAGGAGACTAAGAGTTGGTGCACATGCTTTTCCCTTGGGGCGTAGAAAACTCTTTGAGAGTGTCTTTATCAAGGTAAAGGGGGAACAAGATGTTCCAGAAACTGTGTGTATATGTGTGTGAGTGTGTGTTAAGCGAGATTGTGCCTCGTATGTATTTGGTGTGTCCTTTTGTCTGGCCCTAATGAAGGAGTTCATGTTTAATTCAACAGCACATATCACATCTAACTGCTCCGTCTCTCCCGCTGTACCCCTCTGTCTCTCACTATATCTCTATTCACAGGTCTCTTTCGCTTCCCTCCTGCGACTCGTTCCTCCCCCGTCTCCCCTGTGTCTCCCTCCATCTCTCTAACAAAGAGGGAATCGTTCATCAATCACAGTAAAGCACCGCTGACAACGGATCTGTCCTAATTAGGCCACCTAAATGTTACCTTGAAGCCTGCTAACACTATCTATCCCTCCCTCTGTCTTCCCTCCATCCGTCTCTCTTCTTTCTTCTCTCGCTTTCAACCAAACTTAGAACTAATGAGTGCTAGTAAAAAAATGGAAGGTGAAAGGTTCAAATAAAGGGATAAATGTGGAATTTTCCTCTTGGTGTAACAGTAATAAGGATATAACCGTGTTCGATTGCAGGTGTGGGAGAAAAAGAAGACGGGAGGAATGCTGAATGCTTTGTTTGTCTGAGTATGTTTGTATATAAGTATGTTTGCATGACTGCAGAGTTGTCAGCTTAACATGTGGCAAACATTAAACATTTGTAATACCCCAAAGCACCCTCAGGCTCCCCGTCAGCCTTACATATGAACATGTGTGCTGTCTATCTGATGAGAACTTCACTGCCGTGGTGTTTGTTCATGGCAGTCTACTGTATGTGTGTGTGAAGCTCCTGTTCTTGTGGGTGAACTGAATAAATTGAGACAAATTTGAATATTAGTGCATGTGTTCAGCTCAGGCCTTAAAGGTCTCACCAGCACTGTGATTTCATGATGATATGCTCACTTTCCCTCACTGCACTTTACTAATCTCGGTTTCTGGCTCCAATATTTACCATCCATTACCAACATTTTTAACATAAGGAAGCGTGAAAGCCATATTTTTTAAACCTCAATCGTTGTGGCATTTAAAAAACATCAGTTAGCATTCCCTTGTATGTAAATGTAGGGCATCATTGATGGATCAAAATATTTTCCTTTCTATTTATTCTCTCTTTTCATTCATTATTCATGTTGTCCTTTTGTGAAAGTATGTAAGAGGACGGCATCTCCATTATCTCCACACGAGGACACATTGAGGTTTGTGATGAAGGATGCCTTGGGACAAGTCTTCCCAGAAGGGAGCTTTGTTCAATTAGACCGGGCTTAGTCAACCACAGAAAGGCGAGGTGAAGTGCAAGGGAATTAGAAAGATAAAAAAATATGGTCCAGTCTTTGCGGAATGAATACTGTCAGAAATGTTTTAGCTGTTTACCTCTTGAAAGGAATTGTAACAGTGAAATTGTCTGCAGGGACTGTGTAATCTCCAGGCACTACATTAGCCAAAATACTGTAGTAAAAACACTTAATTGTGCGGCTTGATATCCCATTTTTGCAGCGGGGTTAGCAGGGGGCCCATCACTCCCTCTGGAGCATATCCGCTTTGAGGGAGGGTGCCAAATCGATCCCACAGCAGCCCAATTACCAATGTTCGTTCAATTACTAAACATGTCCTGAGGCAGTGCTCCAAGGCCCACTGAGTTACTGATGGTGACGGGAAAACAAAAATTCATACACACACAAAGACACATAGCCCTAGGACATCCAGATCAAAGCCTGCTTCCACAGACATGTACTGTTTGTATTCAACAGGTGCTCCAATGTTGATAAATACTAGATGCTAGGACATTTAAAATAATTAAAATAAAATAAGATATTCTCCCTAATATTACAAACAATTAGATTGTGTCTGGGTATCAGCAGTCTTCCTCCAAATGCAGAGAGATGATTTCTGTATAATCCACTGCTGGCTGGTATGGAATATTATAATTTATGATACCAGTTTGTTGACATGTAAGCAAAATGATTACCTTAGATCCACCCTTACCTTTGTCAACAATAATGCGTGGCATCTCTTTCTCAGCGGGGGAGAAGCACTTGATCCGGTTTCCCTCCACCAAGCCATTCATCTCAGTCAGATCCTCGAAGGAGCAGTTCACACCCGCAGAAAGTTCTGGAACATTATGGGCCTCCAACACCAACTGAAGGGAGGGAAATATACAAAGGTATGTTAGCTTTCACTATTCTTGGGAATATTATGCTAAATATTCACTTTGAAAGTAATATTATAACAACAATTTTACAAAAGATTATTGAAATAATGAAATATTGTGAACCATAACTTAACAAAACAAAAGAGGGGATTCAGTTAAGTTTTGACTGCTTCACACAGTGTTTAGATTCCCACATCTGAGAGGACTTCAGATCAGTTTTGGGGCCAATATGTTTGACTGTAACACATATTGCTGAAGAGGAGAAGCACAGCTGCAAGTTCTATGCAGAGTAATGAGCCATCTGCAGTGTGGTCAGCGGCCAGAGGAGCCGCGGGGGACTCTTGACTGATAACTTAATACATGAACCGACATCTGATGCATCATGCAGAAACATCCAAATAACAGCAAAACACTTCAACTTAAAAGCCCCTATCTGTAAACCAAGCCCTAAATGCCTCATGGTCGATGAGCTGTATGTATTTGACATCCTAGCTCAGCATACAGGCTGCTGGACAGGCAGAAAGAAGACAATTCTGTGGGAAATGGAGAATGCAAATCTTCCCTCTTCATTGAAAATGCTGTGTAAGCTCTCTGCACCTTAGCAAAAACTGGCTTCAGGTGCAGCAGCAGGAAAGAAGAAAAAAACACTGTCCTTGAATAAGAAGGTAAATTAACTGGGTCGTGGAGCCAGGTGGAGTGGGGTCAAGACCAAAATATACATATTGATGGGAAAGCGTGTCCGCAGTGGGCCTCGGTCCAGGCATTGATCTGAGCTGCAGTCCGTGGTACACGATGTGAGAAGGGCTGACCTGCGCTGTTTTTATATTGCTGTTTAATGAAAAGATGGTGGCACAGTGAGAACAGACACAAAGCTTCCCACGTCAGATGCACCTACAGTAGCTACCATCTCTTACACATCCTCTTATGCTCACTCTTCCTCTCACTTTCTACTTCTCTCGTTATTTTTCCTTTATGGAGGGAACACAGCTAGACCTTGAGTTTCCTCAAATACATTTAGAGTAGTAATGGACAAGCCTAGTCCCATCAGGGCTGCATACATATGGAAATAACCAACTCATGTTACAAGCAACAACAGACACATCCAATAGAATGTTCATGTTGCCCTGCTAAACAAATCTTACCTGCAAATGTTTAGATTCAACTTTATTGTCATTGCACAGTATAAGTACTAAGACAAAATGTTTAGATTCAACTTTATTGTCATTGCACAGTACAAGTACTAAGACAAAATGTTTAGATTCAACTTTATTGTCATTGCACAGTACAAGTACTAAGACAATGGAAAGTTGTTTGCATCCAACCAGAAGTGCAAAACAAGCAGAAAGTGCAGAGTTGTATTCAAGTATAGTATATATATATATATATATATATATATATATATATATATATATATATATATATATATAATCAGTGGCGGCCGGCCCATAGGGGCGCCGCCCCACCTCTTCCCACATTAAAAAAAAAATGTTGAAAAAAATATTAAATTTAAAAAAAATAGACCTTGGACCGGACCAACCCGATTTGTATATATCACAGCAAGCTCGTGAAAAAGACAAAACGTATCAACGAGGCTAGCTGGATGCAAACGATGCAAACAGGTAAATGCTATATTTTGTTTCCCATGCTTGCTCTTCAAACAGCCGGGGACAGATACGATCTGTTCAGAAACTAGACAAAAGTTAAACAAGTACAAACCACAGACTGTCTGTGTCATGGAGAATACAGTCGCTGGTTTATTTATGTCTGTATAGGCCGTTGTTGTGAGTGTGGACGGTCGGAACATATATCACGTTAGCTTAGCCAAGCTCCATTCAGAAAACAAGCATTCTAAAAGGTTTTTCGCCTACCGTCTGTCTGCAGACTTGTCAAAGCATTAATTCATGGTTTTTACTAACCGGTATGTTGTTACGTCGGCATCATTTAGAAACGTGTATTACAATTTAATCACGGTAAAATATGTTCATTTTGTTGTAGTTGTAGCTCCCGAGCCAGCGCGTCTTGTTTGAATGATGCGAGTAAACACAGCTGGCAGCCGCGGTAACACTCGAGCGACTAGAGCGATGCGATAGTATGGGCATAGATATGTCTCATAATTATTTGTGTGAACATAAAAATAATTTGTGTGTAAATATGTGATTTTGTAAATGTAAAACAACATCCACAAATGCATTTAAAAGATTTGCAAACTCACAAATACATTTGCAAGTGTAAAACGGATCTGCAAATACATTAAATATGTTCACAAATTAAAAAAAGAACTGTGAATATCTCTTTAACATTTACACCTTTCGATCAGGCATTTGTGAATCCATTTTGTATTTGTGGACCAAAAATGCGCTTGCGGATCTCAAATCTCTGTTCGCGGATCTCAAATCTCTGTTCGCGGATCTCAAATCTCTGTTCGCGGATCGTCTTTTTACACACACGGAATTTTGAGACATATTTTCCGCCGGTCTCGGCTAAAATCTACTCGTGTCACTCGGTTATTTTCGGAAACCACGTGATGGCCTGCTGATGACGACATTTCCGCATGATTTCAAAGTAAGAGCATGATGGTTTGTTTAATGCTCTGTTTTTGTATTATAATGAACAGCGGAACGTTAGATGCATTCTTCATCACCATCACCATCATCATCATGTTATAGTGATACAGTTAGTTTGTGTTATTGGTTCAATACAGCATATATCGAGCACTTTCGTTGATGTTGAAGTGCAGGCTATACGCCACTTTCGGGTCCCGGGGGAGCAGCTGGCAGCGAAACAGCCCAGATAAAACTCTTTCTTCATTGTTTGTTGTGTATTCAGTCAAGCGGGTCGAAGTTACAAAGCACTTCACATCTTATTAATCGGCCTAATTTTACCTTACCAGTGCAGTAATAAAGTAATCTGTAGAAAAGCACCGTATTTAGGTCAGGGTTATGGTGATGAAGAATACATCTAACGTTCCGCTGTTCATTATAATACAAAAACAGAGCATTAAACAAACCATCATGCTCTTACTTTGAAATCATGTGGAAATGTCGTCATCAGCAGGCCATCACGTGGTTTCCGAAAATAACCGAGTGACACGAGTAGATTTTAGCCGAGACCGGCGGAAAATATGTCTCAAAATTCCGTGTGTGTAAAAAGACGATCCGTAAACAGAGATTTGAGATCCGTGAACAGAGATTTGAGATCCGCAAGTGCATTTTTGGTCCACAAATACAAAATGGATTCACAAATGCCTGATCGAAAGGTGTAAATGTTAAAGAGATATTCACAGATCTTTTTTTATTTGTGAACATATTTAACGTATTTGCAGATCAGTTTTACACTTGCAAATGTATGTGTGAGTTTGCAAATCTTTTAAATGCATTTGTGGATGTTGTTTTACATTTACAAATCACATATTTACACACAAATTATTTTTATGTTCACACAAATAATTATGAGACGTATCTATGCTCATACGATAGGAGCGTTTAGAGCGAAGCGAATATTCGCATCGCGTCCGGTCTGAACGCAGCATTAAAGCGAGCTCCGCGCTGCACTGGAAACGCGCCATTACATCACCAGAAGTCCTAATTTAAGGGGTAATTTCTCCCAAAAAAAGTGTTTTACTCACTATATCAAAAGCCCCACCAAAAATATTTGTCACTGTATATAATATATAGTCTGTTGCTCACTGGCTCTGAATACACATACAGACATGGGTCACAGCAGGCGCAGGATTGGATTAGCGTCGTCACGCGTCTCAACCAATGAGAGCATTTGGGGCGGGCCTAAGACTGCTGCAGTGCTCACATGAACCGAAACTAACTGGCGGGGACAGAAACATGGAGGAAGGTACCGAACTCTTACATGGACATTTTACATCTCTTCAGACGGCGGAGTTGATATAAACATTGCAGTGTAACCACTGCAATGTTTTCTTATCTCTGGACTCTGAGGGTAACTTTTTTTATTTTTAACACACTAGATAAAACGGTAATGCAGTGGCAAATAGCTTTGCTTTTATATTTAATTTGATAATGTAGTGCCGAGAGACAGGAGTCGGAGGCGGTGCATCGAAGGTACAAAAGGGAACTTTAATGAGGAGCAGAAAAGGACATGTTGCTGGCTTGCAGTCCGAGTAGACAAGAGAAAGAAGCAAGGAGCAGTGTTGCCAACTCCATAGTAAGGAAAGTAGCTATTGGCTGTCCGAAAAGTCGCCAGAAGTCGCTAAATGACGTCATCGCCTAATTTGCATATCATGTAATGGCGGCTGTAGGCAAAAAACGTTCCCAACCCTTCAAGGATCAAAACTTGAAACCACCGGAGTTAAATCCAGACGACAGTAGATCAGAAATGTCTTTGCCTTTTGAGTATGTTTTGGGGACATGACAGTTTGGCATAGAAATCCCCCTTACAATAAAGGCAGTATGCCCGTGTGTCATCTCCAATAAATGGCTTCAACCATCCTTTATACTCAGGGTTTGATTCCCACTCCTTTCTGTATTTTTGAGAATACAATTTAGACTGTGCCATGATGTTTAGCTTGTCACAGAGAGGCACACACACAGTGGACGAGGTGATTGAGTGACTGAGGCTGTGTGAGGCAAAGCAAAGGCAGTTATTTGGGTGAAAAGTGTGAAAAGTGAGTGAAGAAACATTTACATTCAACATTTAAATCCCGCTCAAAACCAGGACGGCTTGGCAGTTGGCGCATGCGCAATTCATTTGCAGTCTCGACGCGGGGGAGTGTGGTTGTCTCCTCTCTGCTCTGACTGCAGCAGCAGCTCTGCTGCGGCCAGGCAACCGTCAGTCTGAGCGCCTGTGAGTACTATGGGAGGGAGGCGGGGCTCACGGCAGCACCCGCGGCTCGTTAACTGCAGAACAATGTGAGTCTCCAAACACCAGAAAAGTCGCTAATAACACCATTATAAATCGCTAGATTAGTCGTTAGTCGCTTTTGACACAAATAAGTCGCCGGAGGGTTTGGAAATCCGCCAAATTTAACGAGAAAATCGCCAAGTTGGCAACACTGGCAAGGAGGGCACACAATATATACAGTTAACAACACATATGTCCGTGCGGAAACAATACCCCCAAACTGTAGTTCCATGAGTGAATTATGTTATACAGTGGTCACCACAATAACATTAATTAATGCTTAAGTTCTGATTTACAAGAAACATTTTAACTGCTACTGTGTAAAGGGAATACTGCTCATTATTTGTTCAAACTGATTGATATAAAGAAAATGATGAACATAAACTATGTATAAGGAGTATGAACATTTTTAACAGCCGTATAGAAATTGAATACACTATAGATCAGGTATAAGAATACACAGTATAATACAGACACTATCGACAGCATACATTTTAATAGACCATAAACTGTTTTGACATATTGGTGATAAGTTAAGAGATTACACTTTAACTTTATAGCTACTCTTAATTAAGACTTCAATTAGCCTTCAAATGTCATGGCTGATACTGTTTTCTCTTACTTAACTTAAAAATAATTGATTGTAATTTGAGATAGTTAACTATTTCATTAACAGATGGAAATCAAACAGTGGCTTTGTCTAAGAATATATCTGATTTCAGCAATAGAGTGTATCAGTTTCTGTCAAAAATGCCTTTGCTTATCTTTCCAAACAAATATTTAATAACATAAAGGTCAAGGAGCAGCCGCTGTGTGTCTGGCAGAAACCTCTGCCCTGCAATCAGTTGGATGGGAGACGTGTGGCATAGCCTTTGGGTAAAGCCTGCTCGCTGGGAAAAGGTTAAACACTCTAAAGGATCAGGCATGAGCGCATCACACACACATACACAAGCGCACACCCCATGAATATAATTAGACTGGTGCAGAAGTGTACCAGAGATAATCAAAACCTCTCATGTCTCAGAGCAACACTGATGGAGAATAGTCATTCTGAGTTGACCTTTGACCTGATATTTATGCACCAAGTCTATAGGATTCAAAACCATTTCCAAACCATCATTATATAGGAAATGGGAATTGAAATGTGACATTACTTTAGGTGGTTAAGGTCAGTGGGACTTTTATAACTATAAGTGTTACAACCTTTCAAACGGGCACTGAGGTTTATCAGGCTAGGATGATATAAAATAGCATGACAAGGGAATGTCAATCTTCTCCTGAACCTGCAGTGAAATCACAGGAACATCTTAAAGTGATGCACACATCTACACACACAACTACAGAGCCACTTTGACTGGTCCTGTCAAACTGAAAAATAACCATTGAATCAGAATGGGCCTTTGGTGGGGAGTAAATGGGACACAGTATAAGGGAATACCTACTCCCATAGGTCTCTGTTAAAGCCATATCTATTTCTTTCCTTGCATACAAGTTCACACAGACCATTCATCTTCCAAAAGGTGGATTAACAACAACCCGATATATAACAGCTCCTACTCAAACTAGTGAATACACTCAAACAATCCAAGATAAGTCAGAGCTTTAAATCAGGCAGTTTTTTTTTCAACTAAAATGACTGGGGGAAGAATTATCTTTGCCAATTTGTTGCCAACATCCCCTATAAACACAGCTGAGCTAAACTGTGTGCTGCTAATGATTGTTGACATTTGATGGGAAGTGTTTCACTGGACGTTGCGAGGTCAGGTTCTGAAGGATGCGTTTTGGCAGGCAGTTAAATGATGTAAAGCAAGATTATAGAGTTAACACGGTCTACTAATCACTATCTAGAGCGTAATTACAACGTATTACAAATGATCCTTGAGTGTGTGATGTTGTCAATCTGCCAGACAAGATGTTCTCACTAGCATCACATTCCGCTAGCATCACTGTTTAATGCAATATGGCTGCACTAAAACAAATGATCGCTAAAGTGTTTCTCCCCTATTGACTGGAAAACAATTATTAAACAATCCCTACGTCAAATGGCACGAAGTATCTTATTTTAGGACATTTGTATGTTGCTGTTAATTTATGACAGATTAATTAAACAATAAGTAATTGCATGAGATGAATTATTTGATACATGCTACACTTTTTTTTGATACTGTCACTGGTACTGGATGTGTATTTATTTTGTAAATGATAATTTGTGTAAATCCTATTTTAATTCATATTAAGCTATTTTTGCCTTTTTTTATTGTAGAAGTAAAAGTATGTTTCTATCCACTCACCGTCACACTGAACTGGGACACTGAGATGTTGTTTGGGTGGACGCTGAGACGCACACACTGCTTGATGTCGGATGCAAAGCGACGGGGCTCTGATGAGCGCTCACATTTCTCCTTTCTGGTGCACCTGGGAGGGAACACAAACACAAGAGAGGGGGTGTTATTCACGGATGAAAAATGCACACACACACACATGAAGTAACCGGACCAGATCATACTTTTCACCTGTTGGCACCTGGGGAAAAAGAGAATGTCCCACTGCTGCCTGACGGACAGAGTTAGACACATTTATCATATTTCCTCTCTGGCAGCGTACTAGCTACAGTGTCCAGTGAATGGAAACCCGGTCTCCAGAGGGCGGGAGCAGTGGCATTTAAAAACAATGGCTGCTCTATATGTGGAAGTGGAGCCTGTCCGTTGGGAAAGAGGTAGGCCTCGTCTTTGTAATGCTGTCTTAATGACTGGCATTCATGGGCAATGGCAAGTGCAGGTGGAGATCTGGATATTGGTGGGGGGCAGGGGTAGATTTATTCGCCTCCTAATACAGACCAGGTGGTCTAATCCAGTACAGGACAGTGGTTTTGGCAGTAAAGAGGACTTAGGAGGACATACTGCAGGGGGACTCCCCATAGTTTTAAATAGTTCATGTTTTTTTTTGTGGAAATGTAAGTGTGTACCAACAAAAAAAACTATGGTAATAAGTTTAAAAGTTAAGTATTACAGATGAAGTGGCTGACAATAAAAGGATGAAGCTTCAAGTTTTTTATAAAAGTACATTGAGTTAGAAAACTGGCCCTAAATGTAATCTCTACCTTCCTTTCCCCTACACACACACACACACACACACACACACACACACACACACACACACACATTCCCATCTAATCCCCTCATACATTTATACAAGTTAAATCCCCTATTGATTCAGACAAAAAACGTACTGTGTAATTAACAACCTGGCTAATCCACAGACTGCCCTGAAACTCCTTAAAATAAATAAAAGAATGAAAAGGAAGAATGATGTAATAATGAACGGATAAAAGAAAGACCTGGAAGTGTTTGACGTCTGAAATACAGTAATACCCTATACAGCACGGCACCTTTTATTCTGAGACATTACGGCAGGACGGGTTTAACCTGACATTAGTATTGTAAAACTAAGCAGCCTTATGTGCCGCAAACAAGACAGACATAAAGGAAAAGAAAATAATCTGTTTGAGAGAGGAAGAGAGCAGGAGGAGGGGTAAACAGTGAGAGAGAGGGAGAGCGGAAAGAAAGCAAGATTTAAAGCTCGGCGACCATTGTTGGCTTTCTGTGGAGCTTTCACCGCTAAGCCAGTTTGAGTCAGGTTTAATCGCTTCAGGTTCCTTTGTGCTTCTCTATCACTCCTGTCTGTTCCTCCTTTTCTCACTCTGATTTAATAAGACCACATCATATAAAGTAACCCGAGGCAAACAACCCACACAGAAACCCACAGACGCACGCTTTTACCTTCAAATATACATACAAACAATGCATACCTCTTACCCACAGGGCTGTTGTTTACAACCTGAGAAGAGAAGCAGTAATGTAGGAGCCGCATTTAAGTTGATTTTGTTTTGATTTATTTGGAACCTTTATTAATAAATGTTTCTGTTTCAGTGAGAGTAAAAATAAACATTGAAAGAGCAACCAAAACATCCAGTGTGTGTGTGTGTGTGTGTGTGTGTGTGTGTGTGTGTGTGTGTGTGTGTGTGTGTGTGTGTGTGTGTGTGTGTGTGTGTGTGTGTGTGTGTGTGTGTGTGTTAATGATGTTTATCTTTGTGCTTTTTTCTTGACAGTTTCAAAGTATATTGTTTTGGTTGAAAATAAATACAATTTCATGCCAAAGTCTAGCAGAAGTGCATTATTAACATTTACTCGAACAATATCTTTACGTGAATCATCACCTTGTGTGACTGAATGGTTCCAAGTGAATAATAAATGAATAAATCAAGGTTTATAGAACCATTACATTCAATTTGTCTCTCTTTCTCTCAAACACACACTGACACCATCATACAGTAAATCTTCTCTTCAATGGGCATATAAACAGCTACATTGTGAGCCACAAGACATACTGTTGTGAAAGCTTTGCTCAAACATAGACTGTATAAAAAGTGCAAATAAGTCAAAACAATAGCAAACTATTGCAACAGCGTTTCAGCTTGTGGCCTTTGTCAGGTAATGATGATATGTTAGTATCAGAAATATCTATTGACTGGCCATAATATCAGGAGTAGTAAATGAGTGGACAAGGGAGTGATTTCTGACATCGTATCTGCAGTATGAGGCTCAGGTTTATGACATCTCTAAGACACTAGCTGCCGTAAATCACAGCAGGGTGATGAGGAGAGGAAGAGGGATGATGCAGGAAACTGCGTGACAGAAGGAATCAGAGTAAACAAGCTATCCTGTAAAGACTTGTAAATGTCGAGCTCACAGTAAATAACATATTAGGTCAGGTTTTTATGAGCAGGAGTCACAATGTACAATGTTTATGGGAAATAATTACTTTGGAGAAAATGTGCAGCCCACAAGTTATATCCCCTGTAATACAGTTACAAGCCAACAAGACGGAACAAGGCAGTGTGGGTTTATGGGTGCAGCAGCAACAGTAGGCCTGGCATATGGGGCCTGTTAATATATTATCATTACAGAGGGTATGTCACTCTGCTCTTAAAAAGTGGACTGGGGCCAATTTGTTTAGCTTGTTATGCAAATAGGTAGTGGGAATATATATTTTGGTAACACTTTATTTTAAGGTACATAAATTAACCATCAACTAGTATTAATTAACATGCATAATAGCAGTATATTGGCTCTTTATTAGTCATTATAAAACACTTATTAATGCCTTATTCTACATGACCATATTCTACAAATAATAGGCCATTAGTTGAGAGTTTTTCCTCAATAACCCTCTAATTAGTGCTTATTTATTGCAAGTAAGGAAGTTGTTAATATGCTCCGCTCAATATGGGCCTAATAAGGCAGTAGTACCACAAGAATAGTAATTCTACAATAATAATACTGAACACATATGATCTCTTCTTTAATAAGACATGAAACCATACTGTAAGTGTTAATTAAGTCTAAATAACTCAACATGAGGTATTTCTATCTAAGAATATGTTCCCTACTTTGAAGTGAAGTCTTGTTCATAACCAATAAGCTAGTAGTTTGACTCTAATTGACCTGAACAGGTTCCCTATTCTGAAGTTGCCTCCTCTTCACACTTTGTAAATACATTATAGCACACAACTACTGAAATGAACCTCAACAGTACATGAACAAAGTAGGCACACGTTGAAATATCTGTTTTATTAATGAACCACTAAAGAGAGGTTCAGACACATACACGTACCAAAACATGCCAAGTTTCTCCAAGGCTGAGAACATATATGCAGCCTGTACCTTTTTAATAAAAACTGATTTTTAACAGAGTTTATGTATTTGTGATCACACTGTGTGACCTGCTTGTATGTACTTACTACACAATAGGCGTACTGTTATCTCTATGTGTTGTACTGTCTGTGTGAACATAGATTAAACAGCCAGCCAAACTCTTTTGAGAGCCAGGGAATGAGCAGCCATGCTCCTTTATTGACTTATTAGCAGTCTACTGACATTCAAAGGGAGTGAAACTATATAAAAAAAAGTTACAAGGCACTTAATGATCTCATACATGCAAGTGTAACATACACAGATTAACACATAGGACCGCTAAGTGTAAACAAGGTCAATATAGCTAATGCTAGCTGTGCAATAAGCATAGGCCTACAGGGCAGGCTATTATGGCTAACACTAGCGTGAATGCTAACGCATTTTCTCATTGAGTTTAAACCATGGTTTAAACATCTCCAAATGTCATCACATAAACACAATACATGTTACTAATCCTAACAGTGTAAGTGTAAGGCTCACACTTACAGTCATTGCTTTCTGACGGACTTGACCCTTTTACTATTCAGGTTGCATAGGGGAAATTAGTAGTACTCTACTGCCATGCTATTCAGTTCACTTTATCCTACTTCCTGTACCCGGTTTCCTGTCTAACCTTCAGTACACATTTTACAAAAATATAAATGTGCAAATATGAAACATACAGGTCAATATCACCTTGCTATTGGTAGCTGAACTGTCAATACCCCAAAACATATTCTTAGATTGAAATACCTATTTTTTTGTTATTTAGACACAATGAACACTTATAGTTTCATGTCTTGTTACATAAGAATAGATCATATGTGTTAAGTGTTATTATGGGAGAATTACTCTTCTTGTGGTACTACTGCCTTATTAGGCCCATATTGAGCAGAGCATATTAAGACCAAAACTCATGTACAACAACTTCCTTACTTGCAATAAATAAGCACTAATTAGAGGGTTATTGAGGAAAAACTCTCAACTAATGGCTTATTACTTGTAGAATATGGTCATGTAGAATAAGGCATTAATAAGTGTTTTATAATGACTAATAAAGAGCCATTATACTGCTAATATGCATGTTAATTAATAACTAGTTGATGGTGAATTTGTGTACCTTATTATAAAGTGTTACCAATATTTGTAACTCTACTCACTCAACACCAAAAATCACAATCAAAAGAAAGAAAAGAAGAGTGGTCAACATTAATTTCCTTTGTTTGATTGTGTGTCTGTCACTTGTGCCATAGTATGCCTGATTCTATAACTGAAACAAATGCATTTAAATACAAATAAAATATCTAATTCACTTTTTTAAGTTTAGGTTTAATGTTTTAAGTTTCAATTGTTGTGTGCAGGTCTACCATTCCCTGTGGTGCCTGCAACACATATCAAATACATTATCTACCAAAAATGACTTTTAGCAGATATGCCTTCACGTTGGACTTTGTTTTGCTGTTAATCTTGCACCCGCACAATGTAGCCATACATATAGTATACATCACCATGTGGGTGACACCAGATAACAGATGTGCGCTGTAGTGTAAGAAGTGCTCCTGCATCCTGAGTGCATCTCTCACCGTGTGTAAGAAATGCACACATATTGATTTGTGTTAACCCACATGTCCACATGATTGTGAAATGGGGAATTAATGTAGCTGATTTGGGGCTTCAGTGAAA